TTTTCTTTCTGTCAGATTTTTCTAAAGTTATAAATTAAATATCTTTATGAATAAAAACACGTACAAAATATTAGTTTTATTTCGTAAAACAATTATATTATCATTTTCCCAAAGATGTTTCTTTTCTAATTTTGCCGCTTTATTATTGAGCGTCCGATATATTTCTCACTCTGTATCAGGTTTCATAGTAAGGGTCACCCAGTGCAGGCCACTACCAAGATATGTAACGACAAGTTTGCTATACATCGACGACTACCGAACTACATTGGTACAAAGCCCCTGTACCAAGAGACAACTCAATATACATACGTCTTTAAGTGGAAGACCTCGAACGGGTATAAATACGATATTAAAACGATACAAGATGTTTTATGGTAAGAGGTGTGTATAATGTGAGCTCGATAAGGTGATGGGGACAAATAACGATGCATTGCTTATTCTTAATACGAATTGCGTACAATCTGTCGTTTACCTGTACCACGAACTATAACGATAATTATGCGACTATACAAATCTTGTGGTAACTGTATAGTGAGCTAAATAATATAAAATTACTGACTTAATCTAGGTACGTATATTGAACGATATCGTTTTGTTAATGAGTTTCATGGTACAGGGAAGTAAGGACCTTTTGATTGTACAAGCAAGTCAATGGACCTTGTTTATGAATGAATTCTGCTCGCATATTTAAAAGGCGGGGGACCAAAAGATTAACTTCAAATTTTGGCCGATATCAATATATCAATATTTTATAGGAAGAAAATACGTCTTAGTGAGGAATTTTTATTGGAACACTTTATTTGTAGCTTCTGATTAGTAATTTTCATGGACTTTTACGCATTAAATACCTTAAGACGCACGCCATATTGGTGAAATTAATAATTATTTCTTATGGTTTTTTATTATGAAAACTAACGCGGTTATCACACATTATAGTATAAAAATCATTCTAATGACGTCATGAAATTTTACCGTACAGTCAAATACAAAAACATTTTACTTTAATTAGTTCCTCTTCTGATGAAACCAGTATTAGGGTATTTTTTCAGGGCAAAGTATATTCTATTTAGACACATCTTGAGTTGAAGGTCGTGTGAAACTCGTTCAATAAATGAAATACTATTAATATATAAAAAAGACAAAAATATATTAATATCTTTTCAGTAGGTACCAAATTAAAAATTTGATGCGAAATAAGACGCCGCAAAAAATAAGTAGAGTCGTGAAAACTTAGAGCATTTGCCGTCCATCGAAGTGCAAACAGCGCAACGATGACGATAAGAGAGAACTTAACAATAACTTTGACAGATAAGCAAGATAACATTCAACCGCGGTAATAATGTAACCGAGTACGCACGGATACAGCGCTAACTGTCACTTTTTGATAATGTTTTAAACTATATTATAAACGCGTTAAGAACTTTTCGTGCGCTTGGTTATTATTTTTATGCTAATAGCAGTACTACCGCCGTTAGTTGAAAGAGCGCCTGTGACAAAAATCAAAACCGAGAAAACAATGTTTAAAGAAATGAAATTCAAAAATATCAATTTTTCTCTTGCGGTAACTTCATACCTTATCCACCGATGAAAAAAGGAATAATAGTGACAGATCGGCTTTCTTTACTGATCACGGCAGTATACATAACATTTCTGAAAAAACTCAGTTTCAGCTAACAGCGGCAGAGTAGAGCTACCTGTGAATGAGTTTGTCCAGGGAAATTCTGCCACCTCATCTATTTCTGCCACCAAGCAATAAAGTGAACGGTTTTGAAGGACAATTAAGGGTGCTAGTGAAATTACAAACACATGGGACTTGTCAACTTGTGTCTATGTGTGATGGGCACAGTGGCAATACTCCTCAGATCTTTGCGAACAAGCGTGTCGCTTACAACCAGGCGCACGATTTGTTACTTTTGATTTGTTAGTTGTTAGTCACTTGATATCACAAAAAAAAACTGTTATTTCTCAGCCGTGACCATGGGACCTGTCGAAACGTTGCTTTGTTTTTAAAAAACAATTACAAGGGGTTTACATCCGAAAAATTAGTTTCATCTGAAATGTATAGCACTCGCGAAAACCTAAAAAGTCTATTTGTTACTTTTCTTTTTTATTTAGCGACGAGACAAAAAAGTCGTGCGCCTGATGGTAAGCGAGACGCCTGTCTATAGCAGTTGCAGTGCCATTAAGAGCTTTAAATCGCAATGATCTGAGGGTCACTGCCAGTGCGCCCGTCACCCCGAGACATAAGTTGACAAGTCACATGTGCCTGTAATTTCACCAGCACCCTTACCCTTCTAAACTGAAACGCAGTAATGCTAACATTACTGGCTGGCGGCAGAAATAGGTAAAGTGGCAGTACTTTCTTGGACAAACTCTTTCAGAATGAGCTCTACTGCTACAAAATCTACGTTACGCGCAGTTATCTTACATTAACTTATATATATTATATTATGTTTAAATAAATCTAATCTAGAAAATCTGTAGTTGGCTTTAATGACAACTTATAGAATGTATATTTTGATTGTAACATAAACAGATGTTGATTTTCTTTAATAAATAAATACAAGAAGTTTTTATTTGCGTGTAGAAGCTGACTGTAATGTTCGGTATTTTATTTTATTATCTAGTTTGTGAAACTCCAAGTCTTATTGATGATGATGTTACGATAATGATGTTTTTGTATTAATTACCAGTTTTATGACTGTTTGTTTCCCTAGAATAAAAAAAACAAAAAAGATTAAGTACTTAGTGCCATGTAAAAACAGAACTTTGATTACCGACTACGAGACAGAAATATTTTTTGTTTAGTAATCATGTTTGCGATATATCAGGCTCATCATCATCATATCAACAAATTATCTACATGATGTGTTTAAGATTCGCGCATTTAAATTTATACTTATTTTCAGAAACTTGTATGTTGTACTAAGTTTACAATCAACTTTTGTAACAAAAAATTAGTGTTGTAGTCTTATTATTATTACAGATCGATCGTGTGTTAAATTTATTTTTGGCTTCTTGTCTTCGTTATGATACAGAATAACGGTCAGATATTTCGTTGCACCCAGTATTTAAAAATTACACTGATTGATTATATTAAAAGCATTTTAAATTCATACACTGGTGTTTGAAGAAGTCGATATAGAAGGTACGTAGCAAATGCTGGTATTCAAGACATTATATAAAGCGGTGGTGACTCAGAGGGAGAACGGTTGCTTCTCAATACGGTACATGTACCTATGACTTTAATTTGTTAGTTACGTACAATGTTTAGGAGAAACACCTCTCACTATCGGTTAAGGAAAACATTGTGATGAAACCTACAAGTCCAAGGTTCACAACCCGTATAAAATTGCGAAGACGACAAAGAATTAGAGCAGACCTGTGCCCAGTAGTGGGACGTGTGATAGGTCGATGTTTTCTATGATACCAAATAACGGGACGAACAAGTCGTACGCCTGGTAGCAGGCGACACGCTTGCCCATAGCAGTTGTACTAGCACTCAGAGCGTTAACTCGCAAAGATGAGGAGGGCACTGCGCCTGTCACCCTGAGACGTAAGTTGACAAGTCCCTTGTGCCAGTAATTTCACCAGCACCCTTACCCTTCAACGCAATAATGCTGACATTACTGCTGAACGGCAGAAATAGGTAAGGTGGCATACTTCCATGGACGAACTCTTTTACAAGGAGCTCTACTGCTACTTTAACATGATACGATCATTCGAAAAGGACAAAAAAAATGCATATTGTTTCAAAATAATCAAAACACACAAATGAGGTCACTAACTCCTGAGCTTGGTATAATATGTGTTGCTGCAGTCTGTATTAATCTAATTCATCATTATAAAATGCTAAGTCACATAATAATTATAAAATTTTGTTACTTTGACTCTGCTTTGACTATGTACATGTGCGTGCGTGTGTCGTTGCGTGTGCGCGTGCGCGTGTGTGCGTGTGATGAAACACTAAACATTCGTTAGAAATTTTTAAATAGCACGATTGGTTTACTTTTATAGTTGTCTTTTTAAGTAAATTACAGCAACCGATTTATTAAAATTAATCTGTTTTTTGTAATAGATTATTCTGAGTGATGATGATAGAATATGATCGTGATGATGTGATAAAAAACCTTACCTTGCCTATCAGAATGGATGATGAACACACGAATATACAATGTTAAATGGGACTTGCCAACTACTGGTTTACAGAGAATAATATAGTAACGTGATTTTTATATCAATAGCATTTTTGTGTACTGTGCGTCAGGGACCACACGAGATAGGCGTTTATAGGCGTACCGGTGGTAGCAAAATTTAACACAAATAGGAATGCAGTTATGGTAGAATAAATAAATAAATTTACAATTCGTTGTTATATTTTTCCTTTACTGAAAAATGTACCTTCTACCTTACCAGTACGCTTTTTGTGTACAATTTTGCAGGTTCCGCAACGCCTATAAACGCCTAACTCTTATGGTTCTTGATACAAAGTTCACATGCTAATATGCTAATAATGGTTTCGTAATTTATTTTCCGTGCTTTGTCCACAACTTTCAGAATATATTATTATTAAGAATTAACTATTAGTGTAGTAGCACTAAGTATGATAATTCAGGCTTATTTTTCATTTCTTAAGTATCTGTAGTAAGCAGTATATTTGTAATCCAATGTAGATAGTACGCAGCTTATGTTGCTAGCATGTTGTCTGTTGAAAATCTACTTTTTTTACACAAATTACATGTCTGGACATCATGTTATTTGGACATATTTTACGTTATTATTCTGAATATAAATTATTATTATTATTTATTCTAGCAAATTTAAGGATAATATTAAATTGTAAAGCAAGTCCCAAAACTGAACAGCACAAAGGCAAAAGTTATTAGTCCCACAAGGTTAGAAGCGATGTAGATGAACGGATTGCTAATTTGGACGATTCTGACCATCTCCAGGTTTAATTTTTGATTCCTCTATTTCCAGTTTATCTACATCGGTGTTACCTTGAGCTTCTGGGACCTCAGGGGCTGTAGACGCCTGGGGATCTGACGCAGTGGTGGCCTGGGACTCACCCTTGGAATCTTGTGAGGATTCATCCTCTGTCGTCTGGCCGTCACCTGCTCCAGATTTCTTATCTTCATCCTGGACAAAAAATAAATATCTTACATTTCAAATTCAAAAACTATTTACTTTACTGCTTAGGTCTAAACCACAGTTTCCCAAAGTGGTCCCTACCGCCCCCAGTGGGCGTTGAGGGACCTCGGAAGCAATTGAGGGGCGTTGTTGCTCTCCAAGGAGTGCTATCGCTGTTGGAAAAAAAAACTGAATCATCTATGTAAACCACACTACAAATATAATTTATTTTTTCCATGTGGTTTTTTTGTTAAGTTAATATAATAATTCGCGTTTTAAATTATTTTTAATAGTAGTGAGTGTTTAAATTTTTTTGTCTTGCCTAAGTGGGCCAAAAAAGTTTGGGAACCCATGGTCTAAACCATCGCAACATTGCATTTAAAGACTACAACATAATATTCTTATCATAATATTAGCCACATTTCCATCTAGTTCAACTTTATTTTATTAGACGAATACAAACAATCGACATCCAAAATAGACTAACAGATTAATTTACTTAAAACTACATTTGAACCAGAGTGCCATCCAGGAGCGTGTAAGTACAGCACGTTTAGACAACAGACAAACAAGTTGGTATAAATATATCAAAGAAAAGAAAATACAAAAAAGAAAAAAAAATTATGTTTATGGTTTAATCTAACTACTTGAGGATACCTAAGACAGACTTTTTAAATATGTGACACTTAGAATTAAATGTATCTAATTATTTGTAGACCATAATAAGGTCATTCTCATTATATGTGCGACACTTTCTTGTTCAACTATTCCACTTTCTTGTATCATCGTAAAGTAAGTTTTTTTTTAAATATTGTAAACGATTAATATGAACAAATATCAATTCACAAAGAGTGAACCATAGTATCTTACTCTTTCTTCTCGGGGGATTTTGCTTAACAAATGAGAAGTATTAGAATAAATATGGCAGTGAAAGATATTGTGAATTTTGTTCCAATGAATTCTGTGCGGAACAGTGCAATGAAATACACATTGAAATGCAGTGAGTAACCATAGTTGAAATTATGTATACATTTATGTTTTTATGTAAGTAAGTACCAACATTAAAGTAATTAAAAACACAAAAACTTATACATTGCCAATTCTACGCTCCTCAAGCCTTGATTTCTATGGGCGTTACTTGTCATTGCCAATAGAAAATGACCCTTATGGCTTTCGCATAAGTGATACATTTCCGTGTTTGGACGACTTACACTAGCATATAGATAATATACAGCTGTGTACATACAAGAGCGCGTCTGTGTGCGTGATAGAGAAGGTTCCATACAAACTCATAGGCAAAATCAATTTATTCGCTTATAAAAAATAGTAATGCAAATGGTGTGGATAAATTAAAAATGTACATATTTGCGCTTCACAAGGCTTCCGACATGAAAAATAAGCTTGGTACAGTGGCAAAGAGGTCAACAATAAATGCCCGAGAAAAGATACTAATGCTTTATTTACATCGCCCGCTCTCTTCGTAGCGAGCGAAACGAGGCGCGAACACGCCACTCAGTGGAAACACGACGCAAAAACCATAATATTAAATTAAATAATCGCAACAAACCAAATATCAAGGTCATGCGGATTTCGTATCAATGTCGTATAATATCGTGCACACTAGTACAAAGGCCCTGCAGCCCAATGCAAAGGGGCGGGGGTGGCAAAAATATGCGAAATCACCAAATATATCCCATTGGATTCAGTTTCAGTAACTGATCAAGATAGCATTCACAGTTTTTGTGGCGAAAAGTTGACTTATAACACAACCCTCCGTGGCGTAATTCCCGCGTTTAGCGGGAAGCAAACGTTCTGTCAGCCATGTTGAGACGCAGGCAAACATTAGTGATATAACACGGAAATAACACCACTTCACAACTAAAAATGTCCTCAAACGATGCACACTAACGTAAGGAAATATATTACAACTAAATATTTCACAATAATACCTGATTGTCACTGATTTTTGCTTTATCGGTATCACCCGACATTTTTCCTATGAAGAAATTGAAAGCGAATTCCAAAGCGTCTTCAAACACCGGACAACATAAATGCGTGCTCCATAGTATAGAAAAAAAAGTTGCGTTTTGTTGTGCCGGTATTATAGGTTACCATACACTACTAAAAATAAATATTCTTTGCAGACATTTTCATCATTTACATGTACACATACATTTACATGTACAATTTTTAAATATTTACTAGCAAAATACAGAAAAACTCTTTTGCATTTATTTTACAAAATTTTATTTTATAACATCGTAGCAATCGTACACAGTGCATACACGATACGATGCGTTGCAAGTTCCTGCAACACACAAATTTTGTCAGAATTTCCTAACCAATTATTATTTCACAATTTATTTTATAAAAAATGTTTAAAAATAGTGGAAATTTAAGGGATAATTGGACGTAGTTAAACAAAAGTGATTCAATTCACATCCACTCACGTTCGAAATATGGCAGTTTGAAGTTTATATGTGTTTCTTACTCTTGCTTTTATCTTCAAAACTTATAATGTCATGTATCTCCAAAGATATTTATTGATGTTTATATGTTGGATTTTTTGCTGATCTAAGAGGTTAGACTTTAGGAATCATTTGGTACATATAACTCATTATTATTTGATAATTTTGTGGATTGGATCCTGCTTAACTACGTCCAATTATTCATTAAAATTCCACAGTATAAAGTTTAGAAGTTTTAGAAAAAAGTAAATCCAAAACACTTTGGACTTGGGACCATATCACGAGTGACTTAGGGTCGTACTCTAGAACTCTACTCAATGCTCAAGTCAGGATTTGAGTATAGTTTAAAGCACTCGAAATCATACTCAAGTCCCCGCCATTAGAGTCGTATTTCCATCTCACTTGCTTTATGACTGATTTAGATTAATATAGTGATTGTGACGAATTTTATGAGCATAGTCTGATTAATCGTTTTTTTATTCACACATAAAAGTTATAAAAACGAAATATCAAAAACATAGAAAATGGTTTTAATGTTTTCATCATCAGCGCCCAGTTACACGACGAGAAAATCTTCGCACGGCCGCCACGCGGCGATCGTCCAGTTACCACGTCTTCATATACATTAATGGCGAATCTGAATTCTGTTTACTAGGCAACAATATTTAAATTCATTTGAATAATACACCCACGCGGTCGCCGCGCGGCCGCAGCATTTAAGTTAAAACGTAAAACGTAGATCGTTTTTTACCAAGCGGCAACGCGGTCACCGCTCGACGTGAGCGCGATGAAATTCGTGTCGAATGAATGCGCCCTTATGGTTAGTGGATTTTGGAATTGATGACTCCACAAATAGTCACAAGAATATAAAATACCAATTACGCATTTGTTTGTTACTATGTTGCTGACAACAAATTCCTCTTATATTAAATGTTTTTAGAGTTTAACATTATTTCGTATCTATGTTATTTTGTCGAAAATGATGACCAATATTATTTCGCCTCGTCAAATGATATAATGATATGGTATTCATGTAGGCACATAATTTTATTATTTACTTTAACTAAGACGTCATTGGATTGCCAAGTGGCTGACTGGTTGGTCTAATCGTTGTAATTTAATTTTCTTTTTATCGATGCATTAAATAAAAAGACTTTCAACGTCATTTTAACATTATCAAAAGCTATCATTAAAGTAGAAAAATAAATACTATTGTAAGCAGATTCACAAATTTATTACCATAGCAATATTAAAACGCATTAGAAACGCCATAACTACCATCGACATTTTAAAAGTACTTTACAGTGGGCTGAGTATTTTCATGTTGAATAGATTTTGTGTTTTTGAAATTAAACATTAATTAATTGGTAAGAAGAGGTTAAGATAATATGAAATAAAGTTCATAAGATTTATTTAGGATCCTAATGACGTATTGATAATTTGAAATATTGATAAATAAACACTGTTTTAAATTTTCCCTCCTTGAAGTGACGTGACAAATACACGATAAAGTACCCGTTGTCTACGGTCCGCGTCTTTTCGCTCGCAAGTTTGCGAGACGAAATCGTTGAAATAATTCGTGATCTTTTGGGCGTTTTTATGGCTGCCGTATACCTCGGTTAAATGTGCGATTGAGCTCAAACATGAGTGATTATTCTTCTATGGCTACGCTTCAAAACAATAGCCAAACGGCAAAGTTTGCTGCCGCGTTACAACGTGCAAAATTGGTAAGGGAAATCTCATCTGCATATCGTTTATTTCTGTACCTCCTTGTTTTATGTTATTCTCTTTGTGTGTATACCTTCTTTACATTCACAATTGAGTTAAAACCACCTTCTTTTTGGGGGTACTTTTTATTTATTGAGTAGGTTTCGTGTTGAATTAACATAACCTACTTTTCATTGTTGGTTCACTTGACTGTCCATTATTTTACTGGGTGCTAATTTTGTTTCATTGATTGATTTTGGTATTTTTGTCAAAGGTTGCTGCTAAGTTAGAGGGTGGTGGTAGCAAAAGGCCGCTGGAGGAAGGTTCAGAACCGAATGCAAAAAAACTGGCGTCAGCGGAAGCCCAGTATCAACAACAACAAGCGATGAGGTAAACAGCCACGTTCTACGACGTAACACGAAGTTTTCCCGCCGTTTTCTTATAACGGCTTAGATTTCAGACCTAAATACACAGCAATCTGAACACATTGCCTTTTTATAATACATGATGGGACGAGCAAGTCGTGCACCTGATGGTAAGCTACACGCCTGTCCATAACAGTTGCAGTGCCACTTAGAGCTTTACATCGCAAAGATCTGAGGGGCATTACTGCGCCTGTTACCCTGAGACATAAGTTTAAGTTCTATGTGCCTGTAATTTCACCAGCAACCTTACCCTTCAAAACTGGAACGCTGTAATGCTAACATTAAGTTACTAAATGTTGTTATCTCATGGAGAAGGAATAAAAAATCTATCACTGTAATTTTGGAAATATACTATTACTTCCTCTCGTGAAGAGGCTACGTACGTGTCATTGGATGAATTGTGAAAGACAGAACAAGCCACTAATATATGCAAAGAAGTCATTGACACCGTAAAATGCGACTAGTATTCGTTGACACACATTTTTTTAAGATCATGTATGTATTGTTTGTACAAATGGGGATCTATGTGGATTATTGTAAAGATCCTGCTCGAGCAATATTGCTACGAGTAAATGCGAAGAGGTCCTGATGTAAGTGACGTAACAGTGCAACAGCAGCAGCGGCGGCGGCCGCCGTGGCAGCCGCGGCACGCATCGGCGCAGGCAACCCCGCGCCGCCCCCACCAGGCGCTCCACCCGGAATGCAGGACTCAGCCATCAATGAGTACATCAGGGTACCTGACAAGATGGTCGGACTCAGTAAGTACAGAGTAATTCCAGACGTTCAACTTTCAGCATTTTGTAGATGCCTCAAATCTATTTACACCATGTGCTTAGCTCTTCTTATTAAATCATATTTTTACTTAGTAGTATAAAAAACTCACTTTCCTACAAAGAATTCACAAATTTTGTGCATAGTATGCCAATGCAAAAGGCTCAATTTACAATGCCTCCATGGAATTGAAACTAGTTTTTGTAACATAATTGTACATAGCATAATGAAATTTGTTAATTGTGTAACATACAAACTAGATTCTTATCTATCAACTCTCAAAACTGAGAAATTACATACTTGACATTAAGTTCATTTTTGCCTTGGCTACAAAAATTTGCTTCCAGTATGCTGTAATGTAAGTTGATCCCAACTGAGAGTCTCCTTTATGAGTCCATTAAATGTAGGACTTTATGATAATAAAACCAATCATCATTAACTAAGACTTTTTCTAATTCACTAATCACAATGTCTCACAGTAATAGGTCGCGGCGGCGAGCAAATCACGCGTCTTCAAGCGGAGTCAGGCTGCAAGATCCAGATGGCGCCAGACTCTGGTGGTCAGCCGGACCGCCTCTGCACACTCACTGGCTCGAGGGAGGCAATTAACAGGGCCAAGTATGTGACTTAGTATAGCTTCAGTATGGCAGGTTATAAGACGGTGGTTTCCGCAACTGGACTTCGTGCCACCCGAGCTGCTTCAACAATTTTGGGCTCAATTTGCATAATCGATAACCGGATTCATCCAGCCAAAAAACAGATCATGGCTTTCGGAGAATTCTCGCGCAAGCTCGAGAATTCCAATGGTTGTTGTATTGTAGTTTGTATGCTACAGAAATGGACATAAAGTTCATTACACTATGTACAATTTAAATTGAGCCTTTCCATCATCTTGGGTTTGCTGATGACTTCAAGAAGCTACCTCGACTCCGTGAGGTATTTAGCTCTGTATTTTGCTATCGCACTATTATCTGTAATTTGAATGAATGTATGAAATGTTGCTTTATTTTCTCGTCACAAACAGGCTTAACAGTAGAGATACTTAGGTATAGGTTAGAACAAGATTAGACACTGTTTTGTGAGAGACTGGTGTATAGAAAAACCTGTATTACAGGTCACCAGGCTTCCACTCTGCAGATGTGCAATAAGATTGTGGCACTGTGGTTGTGACATATCACGACATATGTCGTTAATATTTCTAAGTTATAATAAAACTAGTAGTCTACTAAACTGAGTCATGAGAACCTCTAAGACTTAACTGTAATAATCTCACAATATGTAAAGTGTGAGGATGAATGAGTGTTTATAAGGAGCGAGTGTTACTGATTAGATGTATAAGTAAGTATAGTGTATTAGTGTGTATGGGGTGTATGGTATGTATGGTGTGCGAATGTGTTTAGGTGAGAGTACTATGATGTAGTACCTGGTATAACCTGTGTTTTTTTAAGTTAGACATTTCGATGTAATATTGCTGGACAGAATGGACAGAGTGTGATGTTGTTTTAGGGACCTTGTGAATCAAATAGTGAACCACCGTGGGCGTGAGAATGCGCCGCAGCACCAGGAGCTCCAAGGAGGCGGAGGCGGTGGTGGCGGCGGGGGCGGAGGCGGAGGCGGTGGTGGCGGTATGCCGCCAATGATGCGCGGCGGTGGCGGGTTGGCCACTACGGTAAGTAAACAACATTTTTTTCCAATATTGTATATCAAAAGCTGTGAATTGAAAAACTTCATACATTTTCGGTACAAAAATCCTAGTGACATACAAATTAAATAACAAGCGCATACAAATGATATAAAGTTATTCAAACTATGAATATTACAGTATTTGAGTTGATGGAAGAATACGGTAATAGTTTTTTTTTTATAATAATAATCATAATAACGCACACACTCAACATGGCCCCACACTAGGGAAACCCTGTATCGCGGATGCCATGGACACACATGGACAACCACAAATTACACCCAAACTCGCGAGAGAAATAAATGTAGGCCATCATTGACTTACAATTATATAGGCCATACAAAGATTTCTCCCGGCCCGGGAATCGAATCTGGGACGTCTGCGTGGCAGTCATGGTAACCGTTCGGCCACGGAGGCAGTTGAATGAAATAGATTACAACACAGACAGTTAATGAAAAAGAAGCCAAATGTTATTGACTTGTAACTGCTATAATATGTATACTTTTCTTTGAAAATTGCTGTTTTTTTATCTATAAAACGATATCTATGAGCAATGATCATAAAATCATTGATACAAAATGTCCACCATTAAAATGTTGGCTGGTTTGACAAATTTTTCTTTATTTTTTGTACCATACAAACTCCTTGTAAAGTAAAAAAAAGTACAAACTCCTTAGTCACTTATTCTAAAATCAAATCTCTTCAGTTCGTTTTTCTTATTTTCGTCTTGACGTAACATTGACATACATTTCAAAATGTCATCGCGCACGAAAATGGAAGATGTGAGAATTTTTCCCTTATTATATTTTGTTATTCTATAGCTATATTTTAAAACCTTAATAATCTGCCTTAGGTTATACATTTTCTTAACTTCGTTACTTACCTATGTTTTGAGAGAAACGACTACGTACCTCTTTTGCCAGTTGTACGTGTATATTCTTAAGATAAATTAAGTATTATGCTGTTTTACATAGATATTATGAGAAACCAGGTTTTGTGTGGTGCACTGTGCAAAAAAAAAATTAACATTAATCCTTACGCTGTTGAAAGAGGTTTTACAGTTGCAATATTAACGTGCGCGCAGGTGTGCCGATTTTGTGAAATGCTATATTCGTCGCCTTACTTTCTCAAATTCGTATCTTAAAGCACAAATTTACTGAAATGCAAAAGTTTATTGTATATACAAATTTTGCAGGCTGATTTCGCATCACATTTCCTTCATATTCACACACTGGCTTTTACCTATTCTTAAAGTAATACATCCAAATTAACACCCTGGATAAGAAATTTAACATAAATAGAAGTTTTGCTATCTCCTGAATAATCACTCTTTATAAAATACGAGTTTGAGAAAAATAGGCATCGAATTGCTACCCTGGCAAGTCCAGTAATTTATGTACGAGTTGTAGGAAGCTTGTGGCAAACCTTAGTCACCTACACGTTACCTGCGTTTGTGACGTTTTCATTTTGACTTGGTACAAAATTAAACAAAAACAACTACGATATATTAAATTAAGTCTATTAATTTCCCATTGGCATGGCACTTTTGTTTAGTCAAATAGTCACTTAAATCACAATAATAATAAACTATTTATTTATTGCAGTAGCCCATAACATAATGGTGTTAGTTACCAAAGAAAACCTTAGAACTATGTTAGTATTATTATAATGAATTTTAAAAATATACGGCATACTTCCTTACATAGGTCAGATTCAAGCAAAGAGGTTACATAAGTTCAAAATATATAATAACATTTGCTTAGAATGTTATCTGAACAGAAATTTAATTGCAATGAGCTGGCCACCTGTTGATAAAAAAAACTACCCGCCGTTTGCAAAATCCATAATTGTTGTGAACCATATTTATTACAAGAAATAAACATTTAATTTTCTCGCAAATGTGGCGGTAAAAAATACAAAACTCACACATAAGGTACTATCTCGTTAAAATATTCTTCGAGTACAAATAGATAAATGAACACTACGCCACTTTATTTTTTGGTCATTTTCTGTTATTTTTGTAAACAAGCATATTTATTTACTAATATTATGCTCACCCAATTTTGTGAAAAAAAAAATAAAGAAACAAAAATGTAAATTTGAAAAAAGAAACAAAAAATACGAATTTTGTGAAAGAAAAAATAAAGAAAAAAAAACAGAACAGATCCAAAAATTAAGTTGGGGAAAGTGTTCATTGGAGGTATCGAAATATACTAGGTTATTTTGAAAATACTAACAACCTTCTAGGATTATATTAATAATAATAACAACTTTTGTGCCATGACTTTTTACCAATTTGTTCTACTATCTCACACTTTTTAGATATTTGATAGTAAATTGCTTAGCAAGACCTCCCGCTTGCTGTCATTCATAAAAATAAATGTGGTGGGTGATTAAAGGACTATCATCAGGGCCGTGCCCGGGACGTGGCCGGGGCGTGCTAGTTTGTATGAACTGCAGGCCCGTCTCGGCCCCGTCCCGGGCCCGACCCGGCCCCAGCCCGGACACCGACATGTGTGAACGAGTTCATACAAAATATACGCAACGATATTTTTTTGAGCCCCTGACGGAGCACGGCCCGGATATGTGTGGATAGACCATTATTTTGCTGCAGCACAGAGTTATCACCGTTTAGAGCGATCGTGTACCAAACGTCGAAATTCGTCGTCAAACGAAGGCCGATGATGTGGTTATCGCATCACGAGGTTAAGGTGGAGGTGGGCGGGATATTTGGGTAGACGAGAAGTCGGACGATGAACCAAAGCAGTCAGGGAATGGTGGCCAAGAGGAGCAAACAGGCCAGAGGGCAGACCACCACCCCGATGATCTGACGATACTGTCAGATTTGCGCATGACGTAGGATCGAAAATATTGGCGCAATAACGAAGAGGCCTATGCCCAGCAGTGGGTTGATGTTGGTTAACCATGATGATGATAATAACGATGAGAGCGATATATTTTTAATTTTGTTCGAAAGTAAAATCTAATGAATCATTAAAGTCACGTAACAAAAGTTGTTGTTTATATTAGTAAAATAGTATGCAAGTTTGTTAATGTTTTACAAATTACACTGTATAGGAGCGTGCTGCTTATTTTTGTAGCTGGATAATTGGCATATATGTTAATTGGTTATTTAGGAGGAGATAATGCTGCCTGGGCCGAAGGTGGGGTTGATAATCGGCAAGAACGGCAAGACGATCAAGCAGCTGCAGGAGCAGTCAGGCGCCAAGATGGTCGTCATTCAAGATGGCCCCAACACTGAATATGTAAGATTTATAATAAGCAACAAGAATAGTTATAAAGAGGACATCGTACCCTCGATATAATAAGCAGGGTGGCCTAAGTAATAGACGAGATTTTAAGACCGAATTATGTAATATCATACAATACTTTGTCTATGAGTAAATGAAAATAATGAAACACAAACAATATTTTATGAGATTTTATTGCGTGCCGTATTCCAGCGTGACCTTGTTCCGAGTTTATGAAATTTGATTAACCAGATAAAAGTCGCTATTTAGTCGGTTCTAGTCGCAAAAAAGTAGATTTAGTCTGTCCACGGTCCAAAAGTTATAAGGGCGTTTTTCTATTCCAGTGGCACCATTTCTCAATCTCGCGAACCACAGCTCCTAGCTTAGATCTAATTACACTAAAAAAAGTCGTGATTTAGTTGGTTCTAGTCGCGAAATTTTAGAATTAGTCGCTCATTTGTTTAAAAGATATTGGATATTCAATTATTTTCATTGATAGGTACATTTCCAAATGTTAGTTGTGAAACCACACAAGATATCTCAAGAAGTCTAGTGTTTTGGGACTAGAACCGACTAAATAGCGACTTTTTATCTGGCTAGTCAAATTTCAAAAACTCGACCGTGGGTCACGCTGGAATAAGACACGCTATTTTATTTATATGTTTTTTTTTGCCAAATAGTCACTTAAGCCTTTGTGCCTTTTTTGTAACATTATTTTATTTTAATCAAATTATTTTATTAAATAATATCTCAAAGATATTATTTAATAAAATAATTTTAATTTTAACAATTTCACAAATGTAGTGACGTTATTCTGTTCAGGAACTGTGTACAGAACTATAATGAAAGTTTTTAGTTCAGTAGTGAGTACCATGGACAACAGAATTTTGGTTCAGAACTAAAAAGATGTCCTTTAAGTACAGGAGTAGAAAAATAAATTTTACAACTCCTCCTATTTAAGCATAAAAAAGTTGAGTAATTTCGTTTGTAGAATTTTGAATCATAATTCGTTTAAATCTTTCTCCTGAAAAGTTTTCGTTTACCCCCACTAGTTCTGTTGACAGAACTGCTGGTATTTTCCACCCATTTGTTGTTAATATATAGACAGTTACCTTCTATATATTAACAGAACAAATGGGAAGAACAGAACAATCCACACACACACTCTCACAGAACTGCTGAGGATTTTTCTCCCCCACTAGTTCTGTGAATGACACAGTTTACCGTTTAGTGCAGCAGTACCTATAAATCGCACCCATCGCGGAAGAATGGCAACAAGGGGAGTTACGTCAAAAATTATTGCTCCATTACATACAGAAAAAATATAACCCACATCCTCTCCAATTCTTGTAACTCTTATCTACAATATTAGTCGATATAATTAGAATTGGAGAGGATGTGTTTTATATTTTTCTGTATCTAATGGAGCAATAAACATGTTTTACGTAACTGCACTTATGTCATTCTTCCATGAGGGGTGCGATTATTGTTGTTAAAATAAAATTCGCCAGATTTTTGACATGTTTAAAACAAAAACAAAAAGAGACCAATGTCGAAGTTTCATAAACATGGGGACGTCTATTTCCCCATTTATCAACTGCATTTGATTACAGATGTTGCCTTATTACACCAAGTGCGCGATATGATCCTAAAGCCTTGTTCAATATTCTAACAATTTTATTCCGGTACAGGAAAAACCTCTCCGCATATCCGGTGACCCAGAGAAGGTGGAGCACGCTAAACAGCTCGTGTACGAACTACTCTGCGACAAGGACATGCAAGGGGGCGGTGGCGGCGGCGGCGGCGGTGGGGGAGGGGGCCAGAGGCAGTACGATGACTATTCCCCTGAGCAGGGCAATAACGGACTCGCTACTAACTCCACTGAGGTATTGACGCTTTCTGCTCCTGTTATGGATAGACCTGTCGCTTACTCCCAGCCACACGACTTGTTTGTCCCATCATGTATGATATAAAAAAAATACGGTGGTATTTACTGAAGAATATTTGTCGGGTTAGAAATTTTTCTTCATATAAATTGAGATTCTTTAATCTGTTGCGTTTTTTTTACATATCTTGTTTCCCTTTTTGCTATTGGGGGAAGTTTCATGGGGTAAAATAATAAAACGCACACACATAAACAACTATAAATTACAGCCAAACTCACGAGATAAATAAATGTAGGCTGTACAAATATTTCTCACAGTCTGAGAATCGAACCCGGGACCACTGCGTGGCTAACCAACAGCAAACATTCAGTCACGGATGAAGTTAATGACAGTGTATTGATATATGTGCCCTTCACCAGGTCCTAGTGCCAAAGATCGCGGTGGGTGTGGTGATTGGGCGCGGCGGAGACATGATAAAGAAGATCCAAGCCGAGACTGGTGCCAGAGTGCAATTCCACCAGGAGAGAGACGACGGGCCAGGAGACAAGAGGTTAGTGTTGCACAATCGTGCTTATACCACTGTTCAAGGTCGAGACTACATTTCAGCCAAGCCCTTGCAATTTGATATTATTATCATCACAGAGCACGTTATTCAAATTAAAGTTTGACTAATCATGAAACATTTCAAGTCTCAAATAATTTGTATATTCGGGCGATACGGAAATCCGTATGAATAAAAATGGAAGTATAGTCCGTCCATTTCACGTAGCATGGGTACGGTGTCGTTTGAGATTTGAAGTTTCTAGAGATGTAGTGATGCAAAATCGAATTTAGAAAAATCGATTTAAATATCTTTTTGAGATAGTTTGTTACGAAGAGAGAATCGATTTAAAACTATAGTCTCTAAATGTTCTTAAGAGCAAATAATAAGCAAAATGAAAAGTATTCAATTATTGTTAGTATTAAGTTACTAAAATCCTCAACCACGAAACAAAAAGTCAAAACAGCAATGAAAGTAAATTTAAACAATTACTCCAAAAGCATTCAAAGTGTATGTACGCGAGATATACAATAGCCGATTGGATTTATCGGTTCTATGGAGTAAATTGTATGGATAAATATTCCGTTTTACATATCAAGTGGTTGGGGTAGTTTATTTTTATCTTTATTACTTCAATTTCTATCTACTTTATACAGGCTGTATATTTGAAAATGGTACTGTAGTCTAGGCTCTACTCTATGAGTAGAATCACTGGCTGAGTGAATATAGTTTTGTATTTAGAATGTGTTTGAAAAATGAAATAAGAAAGAATAGAACATGAGAGTTCGTAATGTAACCTGATTTAGAAAATATGTGAAAAATTATTGCACTTTTTACCAAGGTTTAAAGATTATCTCAGTTTATATTCATAAAAGTACCTCTCGCTTCCTAAGCACCTACCTACGCATCCTAAGCTACGCCCCAGCCTACAGTACATACTTATAGAGTGCGTTATATTCCTGATTCTGAACCCAAATAAATAATAAACTAATGAACGTAAACTTTACAAAAAGTATTTCTTTAATTTTTTTTATCGACTACTACTTGAGAACAACATTAGTTATCGAAATCTATGCACATTACTGCTATTGCTCCGACGCAGCGACGGGTGACGGCACGGCTGCGAATAACAAAGCACAGGTGGGGGCGCGGGTGCATACGCGAAATTGCTCAGTGCACGCGCGACCTTGATCTAACGAAGACACGTAAATTATTTGTACTTCCGCTCGCCCGATCGCCGCAAAATGAATATTTATTCTAACGTCGAATTGACTGAGATGGTGCGACTTTACGCAATAAGTGGTGATGAAATGTTCCCAAATCGGAGTTTACGCGGAGGAGGTGAACAGTGTCGAAGTGTTGCGTGAGAGGATTATCTCAGCATTTTATACTGTGAGACAAAATGTGTTTGTGTTGTACAATTTAAAACAAATGTGAAATGTGAAAATAAATATAAAATGTGAAATCTTTTTATATTGCGGTCTCACTCGGCGCTCGCTTGGTAGTATTCCCATTACACTCGAAATCAAGATTAAAGGGAATCGGTTTATTCCTATGTACACTTCAAAACACATTTGTTGATTTATTTTTTGTTCTATCCCATATCCTAATTTTATTTTAGTTTATGTTAAGTTGTAATATGATTTACTATGACGTGTATGAATGTCTCACTTTCAAATATACAGCCTGTATACTGCAATTGTCAGTTGTTTTTTTTTTATATATTATAACAAATGTGCTATTTCTTTTTGTAACCTGATTTCGAAAATATTTAAAAATAGTATATGCAACGTAAACATTTGAAATGTCGCATTATCCATCCTATGTGAAATGAACTATATAATTAACTATATTTCATTGAACTGTATTGGTGTGTACCTTAGAACAATAAATAAAGTGCTTAGTAGGCGTACCACGTATGCCAACAATACGCGGAGTTCCGTGTACTCCAGCTCAATCCGCCATTTCCGCTTTGTACTTTATGGTCGTGTCAAACCTCGAAAATCGTGCAATAATGCCTTATTTTGCTGCCTTGGAGTGCAAATATGATAGTACCTACCTGTAATACAGCGGTGTTTCATGTCTTACGTTGTATTTTATTTGATTTTAAATAAATAATAGATTTTTTTTTGTTAGAAGAAACGAAAGTAAACCTCATACCGCTGCAATATTGTCGACTTTTTTTTGGAGAACTTTAGTAGTGTTTAATAGTTGTATGCAATGCTACTTTCGTTCTATTTAAACTATATTATTGCTTACAGATGCTATTTGCAAGGCAAGCCTCATCAAGTTGATCAGGCGCGACAAATGATCGAAGATCTAATCGCCAGTGTAAATGTAAGTTGCATATGGTTTTAAATCTTTGTTTTTAAAATTGGAAAACATACAAACCACCTTATGGAAAGGCAGTCCGCCACCGCCGCCTACTTACAACTGCCGTTGGGCATACAGTCAGCCTCCAACCACTAATGTGAACATTACTGCGTTCCGGTTTTGATTGTTCGGTGGTTGACGGGTACGAGTGCTGGTGAAAGTAAAGGTATATCGTCGCCTTATTTTCTCAAACTCTTATCTCAAAAGAACAAAGTAACTCGAGTGCAAAAAACAAAAAATACATTACTTATACAAATTTGCAAGCTGATTTCACATCACATTTCCTTCATATTCAGACACTGGCTTTTTTTACCTATTCTTAAAGTAATGCATCCTTAAGTACGTACGGCAGCATATGAAGCTACACATAGACGAATCTTGTTCCGTTGTTCTGTAGGCGATATTCGAACTAAAGTGTATTGCTTGATGTGCTGTTGACTGTACTATGGTTAACTCTAAAATTAACTGCTTAGATTAAATATTAAATAACTTGTCAAGCAGAGGAGAGAGCAAGAAGTCCGGCAAGGTCGCGGCCGGGGAGGTTCTGGACAGCGGAACGGTGACCGCGGGGACTATAACAACCAGTGGCAGGAGCAGCCGGAGACTAGAGTAACCTTCACGGTCTCCAATGTCAAGTGTGGCCTGATTATTGGCAGAGGTGAGTTGTGGTTAACTTAAGTTGTGACAGCCCTGTGAGATAGAACGGACAGGGTGTAATGCTTTTATCACCTTTACCATGAAACATGTTGTGATATAACTGTTAGAGATCTAAGGTTTTCTCGATTACTAAACATTGGGAATGAAACTATTTTGTCTCAGCCAGTCAGCCGTGACCACGTGACCTATAAAGGGCCCGAAACTTTGGTTTGTTTGAAAAAACAAATATACGTGATTTAGATTCGAAATATACATAGAGTCATTTCCATTGTTTGTCAGTGGTTCCCGTCGAACTCTTTGCAACCATGTAAATTCCTCAACTTGCATTAGACATTTTCTTCTTCTCCTACTTCTTACCATAATGCTTGCCAACGTGGTGAAATTTGCCATTGAGCATCAAGGTACTCGCCGAATGTTGCCCAGGAGGCACTAGATGTGCAGGAAAGGTCCGTCATGCGGGGAGGTTCCTTTCGTGTACCCCATTTATATATACTAGTAGGGCTAGCACGATAAAGCGCGACTTGTGCGACAGCGATATAAAGCGCGAGATAAATAAATAGAATATCTATGCGAAAATAGCTGTATTTTGAGCTTTAAGTCGCTCTCGCGTTGTCGTGCTAGCACTACAGTTTAGTGAAACCGGGAGCCCAGTTACACGAGGTTGAAAGTTTTCGCGCGGTGACCGCCCAGTTACCACGCCTTCATGAACATTAACAACAATAACAACATTTAAATTCCTCCGAATAATACAACCGCGCGGTCGCCGAAGGAACGTTACTTTTACGTATTTTGTTAAAACTGAAGAAAAAAAAAATAATACCAGAACGTATTAGAATCCGTTCGTTACGTTTATTTTGTCAAAATAATCAAAATGAACAATAGAAGTCGGCAATGTAGTTAGGGGAATCAGAGTTCTTGGGGCACACACTTCACGTATAGGTATTAAAACCTGCTGTTTTTTCATTTGTAGTTTTAGTTTCAAAATTGTCAATAAATTTTAGACATACATTTTCCCATGCCTTTTTTTCCAGTGGATTAGAATAGCCGACGGAACTGATATCCCATATTGCAGGGTGTTGTTTTGCATTCTCTATAAATTCTTCAACTCGATTTTCGTCCATCGTACTTAATTTGAGAAGTTAACATGTACACCTCACTAACCGTGACTGCAGCGCTGTTGCAGCGCGGCTAACAGCGGCCAATTTGAACGCGCCCTTATGATATTTGTTATTCTGCTAAAATCTAGTTTCAATAGTAGTTAAGTCTCAATAGTGTCAGTGATGGCGTTCATTCATTCAATCACTAACGATCGATGTTGCTTTACTAAAACTACAATGGAAATTACTATGCATATCTTAATTTTAACCTCGAATGCAACAATTTAATCTTCGAATTCAATATACTTAGTGGACACTTACAATATATTTAGTGGACTACGCCAACGACGTGCCATTGCAGGATACCGAAAAATTGCAATGGCAGTTGAATAGTAGCTCGATGGCTAGCTACTGACAAGCAAACTACTTTTAACTGTTGGCGAGAGTACCAAACGTGCAAAACATGCCGTTGACACTCGATCGACACAAATTAGCAGACTTGGTACGCAGATCATTCTCGCAATGTCCATTCCCTATCCTTTTTTTTTTAAATTAAAACTGATTCAGCTAATAAACGAATTATCTATCTGTACATCGTCGGTGTTTTGTAGAAAAGGCGAAAGTCATTTTCATTTCGTCATTTCCAAAAATTTTTCAGGGAAGCATTTTTACGACTGTTTTAAAATATTTACGTCCTGTTTTAAAATTTTTGTTTTGATTATGTTCAAGTTTTAAAATTGAATTTAAAACACGACGCAAATCTTTTAAAATAGCCAAAAAAATTTCGAAATAGCGCTTTCGCCCTTTCTACAAATCACGGACGATATCCATGTGACTTTGTGACTGTAGATACCGATCGATATTTTCCTCGGCAAAAGTGATTTAATAAAGGGGAATGAAAAGAGACTGTGTTGGGCAGGCGGCGAGGTGATAAAGCAGATAAACGCGGCGTCAGGCGCGCATTGCGAGCTGGACCGGCGCGCGCAGGGCGGCGATCGCAACAATCGCACCTTCTACATCCGCGGACATCCCGACGCTGTCGAGGCCTGCAAGCGCATCATCTGCGAAAAAGTTGGCATGGTGAGGCTAACAACTTACTTCACGAACAACCACGGCATTGTCCGAATGCTGGAGATTTTTATGTTCTTAAATTGTAACTGAATTGCGAATAAATGTCCAATGTATGTGATATAATAAGTGGTAAAAGCGGTGTTATAATGGTTAGACCTATCACCTCTCAGGTAGTGGCTTTTTTTATAATATCAAGTGATGGGACGAAGAAGTCGTGCACCTGATGGTAAGCTACACGCCTGTCCCTAACAGTTGCAGTGGCACTCAGCAGAGCTTAAAATCGCAAAGACCTGAGGGGCACTGCCTCTGCGCCCGTTACCCTGAGACATAAGTTGACAAATCTCATGTGCCTGTGATTTCACCAGCACCCTTACCCTTCAAAACCGGAACACAGTAATGCTGACATTACTACTTAGCGGCAGAAATAGGTAAGATGGCAGTACGTCCCTGGACGAACTCTTTCACAAGGAGCTTTACTGGTATTAAAAAATCCGGCCGTGGTTAAAAATCCGGGCTCGCGCCTCTTAAGTTTCTCGAGATTTTTTCGAAATCCCTATCCCTTTTACTAGGGTGGCGGATTATAGCGTAAGCCCTCTCCTGAGAGGACGTTTAATTGGGTTGATGATTAGTGATACACCGTTTTGTCTTCCGTGTTAAAATATTATATAGTACTCCCCTTTTACCTTTAACCTTTTCTTATTGACAAAACCAACAAATGAAATATAAAAACTTGTCGGCCTTAAGAAGCTGGTCGCCTTTCCACGGTCGTTAAGAGGACATTGAGCTGCTTAAAACGAAATTATATTAATAATAATAATATTAGTCTTTTAAATTTCGTACTACATTTCATGCGATATTAAAGCTTTAATTGCTCAGATCGAGAATCATTTAATAATAATATATGTCGGCGCAGCCGGTGAATTTCATCCCAGAGGGCGGCAATGGAGGCTCGAGCGGGGGCGGCGCCGGCGACTACTACGGCGGCGGCGGTGGAGGCGGCCAGGCTTGGGGTTACAATCCTCACTGGCATCAACAGCCGCAGCAACCGCCACAGCAGGTAATTGAACTGTCAATGTTAGATAATACTGACTAATCCGGTAGTTGAAATGTTTAGTTTTTTGACTTATACAAATCAAAAATACTTTCTGCACCTTCACTTCTTTTTTATTGTAAAATAGACCATGAGTTTATACCAAGTGCGTGCACTTGGCCACAAACTCATGGTACTCGATTGTCTTAAAAAGTACTATTCTAATATACTCTAGCTTTGGATAGACCCAAAATTTAGGTTTTGGAAAGAGATTGTTAGATTAGACTTTTTCGAAGACGGAGTAAAATGACAGTTTATTGCGCAAATGTTGCCCGCTTACGAGCTGCTAATGATTGTAGTCGATAAATATTCTATCGCCTATCGACTGAATATGGGTCACGCCTATGGAATAAATAGCCGAACTTGTTTCATTTGAATCATCCTCAACTCATTATTCATCCAATTATTGAGCTCATTTCAATTGTCAATTTTTGTAAATTCGTACATACACTATTCGTATAGAACTATGTTTATGAAAAACACAAAGAGCAGACATATTTCAAAGTTTTTAATTTTAATTCAATATGGATAATCAAATCAGGCTATTCTTGTTAAAATGTATATTAATAAAAATTGATCTCGATACTAATAGGCCAACTGTCAAAATGAAAATAAAGAAGGCAATAACGCAATTAGTAATCATTAGAACGGCGTAACATTCACAATTCAGTCATTTTTGGTAAAATTTTATCTTCTTTCACAATCTATTGATAAAACTATCGACAACAACTACGTAACTATTTAAAATTTTATGAAAACTGGCAACCCTACAAATGTCATTTTACTCCGTCTTCAAATCTCTTCTTTCTCAAATCTCTATTCCTATGAAATACGCATTCCTAAGTAGGAAGCAAAACGCTTCATGTTACATATTAGAGACAAAGGATGAATGAGTCTTGACTTTCTGGTGGACTAAAGGAAGAATGTCAATGTAGATCCATAGGTCGCTGGTTCATATCCGGCTCGAAGGACCAATGTTGGGAGCGTGGACTGTGTGTTGATGTTGAATTTAAAGATGTTTTGTACTGATTTAAATATTTTAATCTTGAACGGAGAACACACATTACACGGTACTAGGTATAGAAGAAGTGGTCGGGTTACCAAATTTTTAATAAATATTTAAAAAAAAATGAGGATGGCACTAATTGTAAAATTCCATGGCACCATCTTTTGTATTCGATATTTAGCGACTTTGCTTGTTGCATCTAGCCACAAGTGCAGATCAACCCGACGACAGGCCAGCCCGACTACTCCCAGCAGTGGATCGACTACTACCGTTCGTTGGGGCTCATGCGTGAGGCAGAGGCCATCGAGCAGCAGGCGAAACAGCAACAGGGTAAGTGTATGTCAAAGTTGTACAAGCAGTAGAGCTCCTTGTAAACAGTTCGTTCAGTAGTTCTACTGCCACCTTACCTATTTCTGCCGCCAAGCAGTAATGTGAGCATTTCTGCGTTGTAGTTTTGAAGGGCAAGGGTTCTGGTAAAATTACAGACACATGGGACTTTTCAACTTACATCACAGGGTGACGAGCGCAGTGGCAGTGCCCCTCAGATCTTTTGATTTAAAGCACTGGCAAGCTCTGCAACTGTTATGGACAGGCATGTCGCTTACTACCAGGAACACGACTAGTTTGTCCCGTTACTTGGTATAATAAAAGAAACGTCAAACTTGACACTTGAGATTTAAAATCACTCTATTGCACTTACAATAGGAACATTCCAAACTTTAGTGTCACACTTAATGGGGTCCACTTTGTTTGTGCTTTGAGTGCTTTCGTTCCTTTTTTTTTCGCATTTTCTTCTCAGATTGATTTTTAAACGGCAGATCGCGACACATTCTATCAAAATCCAGAGTAATGTCCAGCTGTCTGGGTTCCTTTCGGACATAGGGCAGATATTTTCGTCTGTTGGTCCGTCCATTTGAAATACCGAGCTTCCTCCTACAGCCGCATCTGCTCCGCCGGGCGGCGGCGGCGGCGGCGGCGGTCCGCCGAGCAGCGCGGGCAGCGGTCCGCCCAGCGGCGGCGCGGGCGGAGGCCCGCCGCCATCGGCTGCGCCTGCACAGCCCGACTACAGCGCTCAGTGGGCCGAGTACTACCGCTCCCTCGGGAAGCTCAAGGAGGCCGAGGCCATCGAGCAGCAGATCAAGCTCAAGGTGCTTATCCCTAATGTTACTTCTATTTGGCACAGGTCTACTGTGTCAAACAGTATATTCACTAGAAGACTAAAGTCGAGCAGCACGTTTCATGCTACGTCGATCGACTTTCCTCATCGATTTGATATCCTCCGCCCGTGCCCTAGCTTCTAATGAATATGCCAGTTGATTGATTGAAGGAAGAAACACTGGTATAGATTGAAAACGATGTCCATTTCGAATTTAAAGACACCCACTCCTCATCAGCAGCAAGGCCAGTCGGGCGGTCCAGCTCCCCCCTCCCAGCCCCAGCCACCCACTCCACAAGGTCAGCAGTCGGCCACACCGCCATCTTCAACCTCCGCTCCAAGCCCCATGATGGCGAACGCGCAATACTCCAACCAGTACATGGGCTACGCAGGCGGTATGTACCCAGGCTACGGGTACTACCCTCCACAGCAGGGCGGTGATCATCAACAACAGTAAACAATGTAAGTACACTTAATTTCAAAAGGCCCGTCGTCCACCAAAACGGAGAAGTGAGAACAGCTGTATTTAAATTACTAATAGAATTTGGTTATTTTCATTAAAGCTGTTCTCACACTGGTTGTGATGCTTTAGGGGACTCGGCTGAAATCGTGTGAGAGAGTACTGTTAAAATTACTAAACCCTATTGGTTCTTTAAAGACATCTGGTTTTCTCTGCGATTTGGTGGAGGTTTGAGGTTTCCGCAGAGACCTGTCAAGGTCGCGGGAGAGGGACGCTCTTGACCAATCATCGTCCTGCGTAAAGCGGGGCGAGAGGAATGAAATCATGAACGTTCTTCTCAAGCTTTTCGGTGGTCGGATGTGTTACGTGTGTAGATAAAAATGTTTTTTTTTTGCTAGGGGTTAATTTAATTTAGGAAGCTGCACTAACGAATTTACTGTTGATAATATAAAAATGTGTAACATTTACTAGTTTAAGAACATCGATATTATTAAAGAGTAGTCGCTTTCTATAGTTACGCTTTTATAGAAATAGTTTAATAAATACTGGGTATACTATTCATGATCATATATGATGGCGTTTTTTTACCTTAATATTATTTTTATGAAGTCGAAGTATGTGGTCCTTCGTACCATGCAATTGTTTCATTTATTACATACAATTGTTGCATGTTCCATTTATTTGAAAGTGAAATTATTTGTCAAAACTTGTGTTCACGGTTAAACATAATATTATAATGTATTTACATAAAGATGTAAATATTAATCCTTTACTTTACAGGAAATTTATTTATTTATATGTAAAATTGTCACATGCATGTGTTAATTGACAGTTCTTTTTCAGTTTGCATGATTGATTTTTAGTGATTTTGAAAAGTGACAATTCGGGTGCGTTTTACTGAAACTTGAGATTGACAGGGTTGATGATACAGTTAACACACACTTTACTGCATGTTATTAATGGGAAGGGAAAAAGATTAAAGCCCTTTGTAGGCTACCTAACAGGAGCGACAAACTACTTTTACAGTAAAAAGACCACAAGATGATTTAAGTGCCAAAAAAGTGTTCTTTTTTTTTGTCCCTCCTATTATATCATTATATGTTTTTCCTATGTATGTTTCTTTTTTTTTTATATTATTATAAAAAAGTTCAGATCGCTACGAATACGCTTCGCGTCCAAGCGATATGTGCGAAAAGAGTGCGTGTTTCGCTTTTACTCGGATCATTTAAAGGCCAATCAAAAAACGATAACTTTTTAGGTGGTTCTGAATTCGATAGTACATTTTTTGTATGTATGTTACACGGTAACGCCATCGGCATTTGAGAACCGATTTTGATGATTCTTTTTTTGTTGGAAAGCGGGTACTGAGGTAGGTACCCGCTTTCCTTATTGATCCCATTTAATTATTGGAGGAAATATTCCACCTCTAAAGGTGGCAAACTAGGGAATGAATCCGGTTTCGCGCACTTTCCGGTAACTTGGCAAATAGATTTCATTCCACTAACTTTTGAGGTCGGTTTCTTTTTATAAAAAAAGTTTTGAATTTATCGAAATGCCGTTCCTTGTAAAGTCGAGAATCACAGTCCAATAAAAAAAATGAAAAAGTTGCCGAGTGTGCGTTTGCTCTCCGCGTCAGGCGCACATGAACGTGAATATCTTCTATTCAACAGTATACTTAAGGCGGGTACTCACTAGCGAGCTGTAACTGTAACCGTGGTTCGCCAGCTTGCCGCGAGTGGTATGCGTGCGGTTCGCAGTGAGCCGTCTAATTGAAGACTGTTTCAAGCGTGCACACTCGAACGTCGTTACTGTATCTGCACGTTACAGTTACAGCTTGCTAGTGAGTACCCGGCGTAACTGACAACCTATATGACAATCTACCTGATGAGCAGTGGTTACCGCCGATATATAATATATATCGCAAATGCGATTTCGACCTTATGTTATAAGATCATAACACTCGTATTTATAAACAGGTTAAAGTCCGATCTTGAGGTTAATTTTAAGCTCTCTCATATTAATAAATCATAATCAAACGCATCTCGGGTCTCACCATTCAATTTACCAATTCTAGATAGATTCAAGAAGATAGATTCCCCTGAGTTGCTCTTTGTATACATTAATTTATCATCGTACATTTGAATATAATTATTATTTACAATATTTATTTCAAATATCTTAATCACATTAATTCGTGGGCCTTTTGCACAGAAAGCCGGCTTTCGGGGAGCTGGTCCCGTTTCCTCGACACTATTCTGTACAACACTATTTGAGTCTCAAATGTGTTCGAAACATTCAATCGCTGCCTCCGTGGCCGCACGGTTACCATCTGACACGTAGAGATCCGGTCGGGTTCGATTCCGGGCAGGGAGAAATATTTGTATGGCCTTTATTTATTTCTCTCGTGAGTTAGGGTGTAATTTGTGGTTGTCTAGGTGTGTGTCCATGGCACCCGCGATAAAGGGTTTCCCTAGTGCGGGGCTGTGAGTGTGTGCGTTATTATTATTATTTTACCCCATGAAACTTCCCCCGATAGCAAAAAGGGAAATAACATGTAAAAGAAACGCAACATAGTAAAAAAATCTCAATTTGAATATGAAGAAAAATTTCTAACCCGCCAAATATTCTTCAGTAAATACCACCGTATTTTTTTTAATATCATACAAACAAGTCGTGCGTCTGGTGGTAAGCGACGGATCTATCCATAACAGGAGCAGAAAGCGTCAATACCTCAGTGGAGTTAGTAGCGAGTCCGTTATTGCCCTGCTCAGGTGAATAGTCGTCCATGGCTCTCGCGATAGCGGTTTCCCTAATTACGGGCCTCGCGATACAGGGTTTCCCTAGTTACGGGGCTATGAGTGTGTGCGTTATTTATTTATATAATTCAATTCAGGTAACTCCGCTAGATCTCCCAGCCTCGAAAATAAAAATAAATACCGACCCAACTAGTAAAGCAGTCACCAATTTTGCTGTCAAACTAATTGGGTTTTAGTAAAACGAAGCGGACGCCATGTCAATGTATTATATCTTTTACAGTTTTATAAATAGTCAAGTGCTGCAATGTACATGTCGAATTGTTGTTTTAACTCTTATTACATTGGCATTGAGTCTCAGAATTGTCACAATGTAGTATATTTTTATAAGCTATCATAATATTTATGTTTTCAAAGTAGTAGCTAAAGGTTTGGAGTTAGATGCAGCGCTAGGGGGATTCCGGCGTCGGTATATAGTACGCTGTTGCCATGTTTGTTTGTCTGATTGCAGAGCGGCCAGCGGCAGGGCGGCGTGGCGACCACCTTCTTACAATATACTAAGAATTACGTTCATTCAGAGTAGTACGATCACTATACAGGTCTCCAAAATACGCTCTGTTAAAACGATTTTAAATTATTTAAATAGGTTGTCCTAAGTACGATAATTTTGTTTATCTAAAAAGTAGCACTTATATATTGGGAGGAACTGACGACTTTCATTTCTTCCATTGTAAAGAGTCCTATAGTAATCGTATTATAAATTCTACTCACAATAAATTAAAAAAAAAGTCAATGGGTATTACAAAAACTGTGTAAAAAAAACAACAAAAAACTGTTACATAAAACATCTGAAAAAAATTGGTAAAAAAAAATCATGGTCATAATTAGCAGAAACTTCCATCTCAGCACACTCTTCGTGGTAATATTTAATTAATTTATTGACATATTTAACCTCTGCGAACTAAAGTTGATCTGTGCTGCAAGAATGTTTTACACTGTTTTGTAATACTATGTATTTTTAAATTTGAGGTCTCGCTGGTATATTCGAACGATTTCGCAGATATGGTGGATGTTGACGATTCGAAAGCAATGTTGTCCAGATGATTGGCATAATTTCTAAACCTGTATGATTTGTTTGAACTACAGTACCGGCACGCTATGATGGCCTTTTTGACAGATTACAATAGTGAGGTCAAATCGCAATCCATTATCGAAAAAAATATAATCGAATGCGAGTCACATAAGTTTTTAGATTTATAACTAGTATTGCAAGGGGTAGCTGATTAAAAAGTTGATTGATTTGAAACGATTACTTAGTATATCGTCAATTCGAAACTGTTTTTTTTTTTAGCATTGAGCTTTGACACGAGTTTGCCGGAGGTAGAAGTTGTGCTGGACAGCGATCTTATAAGTGACGATCGTATTAGATTTCATTTTTTTAAATTATACATCCATAAATTTTACTGCACGTTACTATTGACAACAGCGTACATCAATTAGCTCATTCAACGTAGTTATGAATTAATACGAAACTTGATAAGCGGACAGGACAAACGTCAAAACGGCCATCATAGCGTGCCGGTACTATAATTAAAAAAAGCGTATATCGTCACCGAAACTGAAGATTGCGAGCGATCTGAAATACCAATCAAAAATAATGCAAAAGGATATTTTTCCGCACATATCAGTAAGTTTATTTCTTGTGAGTTACCATCTAATTAAATATTGTCAAATTATCTTAATACTGTGAGATTTGAGATTACTTTTAAATCGACTGCTCTAATCATTTTTTTTTAAACGGCTGTGTGGTCTATTCGTGTCTATTATTATGTGTATATTTTAATGTGTACGACAAGGATTAACCAATAGGAACTTTAGGTACGGAATGCCACCAATCAGAGATCGCTTCGGAGGTACGAAACCAACGATTCACCAATAGCAACTTAAACGTTCACTTTCAAATCCTTGTCTGCGTTTTTAACGTGTACTTATGGTAACGTGTCATTGCCGTGTATTGATTGAAATGTCAGTTTGTCCAGGTGTTAAATAGCCACACTGTCATTAAGTTCGAACATACCTCGATCCGGTGGGAAATGAAAGCGTAGAGAGCCGGCTGCGCCGCAAGGAGTCGAGGTAAATCCACTGTAATTGATGAGTGCATAGTACACTGTATTTTACCGGGAGTTAAGGTCAATGGGAACGCAAGGATGAATAGGGAAAATTGTAGGTTAAACGTTTTAGACCGATATATTTAATAAATTCAAAATTTGTTAGTGCATTTCACATCCCAAAAACGCACTTGAGATCGCTAAAAATCTTTTACAGAGCATATGAAAGTGTTCAAAAAACATCATGTCGTCATAATTGGTCTTCCACTTTTTAATCCCTATTCACACTTGAGTTTCGATTCACCCCTTGTAAGGGTATGTGCTTTTAGGCATACATGTGTAATATCCTGGTTTTGAATGCGACTTTTAACTATACATTTCGTTGGGCCAGTTTGACAGCTGTTATTTGGATTAGGTCGCCCATCCATAAAATTAGAATTGTAAACTTATATTATAGCAAAAAAAACTATTTCGTCGAAAATATGACACAAAATTGTTTCCTAGCTGTCACTGTCCTGTTCATAGCTGTTTCACATATTTCTATCTGCATAATCAAGTTTTCCATCTCGCCGTATCATCACCTTCACGTGGCGTGTCGTCAGAGTTTAGCATGACTATAAAAAGAATAGCTGTTGAACCATCTCAAAAAAACGGAATAAATATCTAGATATCGGTTGTATTTACTATTAAACACAGTAGAGAAATAGTTAAAATCGCACTCTGAACTTGAACGAAATCATAATATGAATTCTACTTTAGCTATAAGTTAGGATTAGTATTGTGAATCATTACGTTCGTCGCCTCTCTTTCACACCTTCACTAGGGAAAAAGAGATAGATACTTAGGCATATGTATTTTTTAAAAGTTTAGCTTTTTAACGAATTAGGTCTTAAATGTACGCAAAAAAACCAAAAGGTAATGTAAATTCTACATTCCCATTGTTCTCTGAACTCGGTTCGCTCGGCTTCTCGCCCGACTCACTGTATTATTAATAAGATATAAAGTGTATATTGATTGATTATGTGTGTTCATTTTATTTATAAAAATTTCTCTTCACAGACCCAGAGGTAAGTCACCCTAATGACGAAATTTCAGTAACATCGACAGTGTCCTCATATACAATGTGCATTTCTGGTGTTATTTTTCTGATTTTTTTTACAATTATCTCTTCATTGGTGATTATTTTTAACACTGTGCATTTTATCACGTGTCTATATTATAAGACTGTTTCTTCATAATGCATTTTTAATGTTATTTTTGTGAACAGGTTTTTATAATTTCTGTGCCATGATTATTCCATGTTGAATTTTTAGATATCATTTTCTCATTAGCAATAGATAGGCATATTTTCATTGATGCTTCTAAAATGTTTATTAGATATTGGACCACTTAAATTGTTTTTTCCACTGTTGTCATTTGCATTTTTGTGGATGTGCTTTTCACAGCCGTATATCCCAGTCCAGCTGTGGGACTCAGCCAGTCCACGCTGCTCGTCCCTCCGGGCAACTTCTGGATGAATCTAGGGTACAAAACCTGCAATTTTCATGTGCCTATTTTTCAATATTGTTGTTTTTTTCTCAAATGCATTTTATACATTGTATATGTTACAACTGTGTCCCTCTTGTGATTTTTTCCTTGTCTTTTTGTTGTCGATCTGTTAAAGGTGAAGTCTTTTAAAAGGAATATCTATCGAGACATAACGAGAAAGATAATTATAAAATTCTATGAAAATGAGAACGAGAGAAGGTGGCAATAAGTGAACGGAAAAAGGTGGTATACAAACCTGCGGTGGCTTGGTAAGTCTCCTGTAGAATCTATAGAATGAATATTTACACAGTTTACTCAACTGTTGTTCGATTGCTCATCACGATTGGCTGAACACGCAGAACAAAACATTTTTGTTGAGTTTTCGTTTCGATAAGCTACCACGAGTGTTCATATTAGTCATTTTTAATGGTAGTAACTGTTACATTTCTATTTGATGAATAGATTAAACTACTTGTTAAAATGAAACAAATAACCTAAATTGCTCAGCCAAGTGATAAACAACTGAACAAATGGAAATAATAATTACTGTGTCGTGCGGCTATTTGTGGGGCCAATTGTATGAGACGAAAGCTTTATAAAATAGTGAAAAGTGTGCTTTTCGTTATTTCATATTACTACGTAGGGAAATTCTATTGATTGATCCTGTAACGTTGGATACGTGTCGATTTTCTTTAGTGTGGTTTCGTGACTAGACAAAATTATGGATCACTATTTTTAAGACATCGTAAAAAGTACCAGTATTTTTGTCATACCATAATATCGTCTCTATTGACATTTTGTTCTAACTTAGTAAGATGTAACGATTTTCATCAGCATTTAAAAGCGGACCATCGTCACTTATTCTGCCCTTGGAAGAAAGAAAGGCACAAACAGCAAATTCCAAATTATTAGAAGATAAATAGGTTAAAATATCGCACACTGAACATGACAGTGACACAAAGCAAAATTTTTGATTTTGAGTAATGAGTAATTAAAGTTCTGAAAATTTTGATATCTGCAACTTCTTACTCAACGAAAATTTTTGAATGCGGTTTTCAGCTAAAATTAAAATTTTCACCTACCACAATAAAGGTATTTTTGAGAATTTCGTTTGGTATCACTATTTCTCATAATCTTTTCATATAAATTAACATTTCTTATTATGTAATATCGTCACAAAGCAATTCATAAAAACAAATTATGCTATGAAAGTTACTTTTAAACTTCGAAAATAAAGGGATAAATTACTCTATAGCTTATCCACTAACCAGCGTAGATCTGGCTCAGCAATCTTGTACTATATTAGTCTTAATGCAAAACCACTGCAAATGACACTATCCAAAAAATTACTATATCCTTCACGGTAACTACTACTAGTAAATTGTTTTACAACGTCACTACCAAATGTCAGTATTGCGCTGTCTCCCACGCCCGTTCCCCTTATATAGCATAGCTTAAGGTCATTACGTCATGTAGCAAATTCTTGACAAACAACGAACACGGGGGTTTTTGCATTATAAAGTTCGTGTTCTCAAGATGGGCATTAAAATAAAAAAAATAGTGGCGTTATCAATCTCAGTATGCAATATATTGTTTTTTTTTTTTTAATAAAAATAATTATTATCTAATGATATCAAGCGATAGAATGAAACAGTGTTGCGCTGGGTGTAATGAACACGCCTATGCATGACAATTTGAGCTTTAAAAGGGGCACTGCCACAGCGCCAGTCACCTTGAGTAGTTGACAAGCCCCATCCATGCGCTTGTAATTTCACAATCACCCCTACGCTCCAAACTGCTTAACGGCAGAAATAGGTAAGGTGGCAGCACTTCCCTGGATGAACTCTTTCACAAGAAGCTCTACAGCTGCTAGTTAAATTATTTTGTGTTAAATAATATTTTTTATGCAGAAATTTTAATTAGCCATTTAAAAAAATCGCAGTTCCCTTACATTACTTAGTAAAATCCTTTGAAGAGTTTTTTACTTCATAAATGTCAAATATGACTTTTGGAATCGAATTATTGATGTCATTTGTGCCTTTTGAGCTTACCCAAGAATTATTGAGATTCAATACTCCAAATAATTTGGTAGAACTCAATTTTAATAGAAATTTAGTTGAGCCTTTTTTCGTTCCGAAGACAGAATTCTCGTATATTTTTTATATATTTTCGATGAAAGTTACAGCACAAAATGTAAAGGGCTGAATAAAAAATACGTTGCTCTTAGCAAAATTTGTCTTAACGACACTTAGAAGACGATTGTAGGATGAACAACTAAGTATAAACTGCTCTACAGAATCGAGACCACACTGCATCTAAATGCGTTTACATATTACTATTTACTTCAAACTATTGGGCTGATTTTAATGGTGTTAACGTGTGATTATACGTTAACATTTGTAATGGACAAGAACTTATTTTTAGAACTCGGTTGAAGAGTCCATGGAAAGAATGGTCAGTCACTGGAGGTGAATAAATATTAAGGAAAAACATTTTTAATTCGGAAGATAAATATTGGTCAAAAAAACACGCGCAAAGGCTACTTGAAATAAATCTAGTGCTGAAATACATTTGTGAAACGTTAGTACCTAATCCATATTCACAACTAAAAAAAAACCTATGTAAGTCAAACTTACTTCCATGTAGTCAAATCTTAGTTATGTTCTCCGCATCAGTTAAGACAGAGGGGCTCGGCCAAAGCATCAGAGATGCTCACATGACTCTCAAACAAAAGTTGTCAAGAATCTTGGTCAGGTTCTACCAGTGGCCGCCATACAAAATCGACTTACCATCTTCGCTGTTCCCCCTCTCCACCAACCTAATTTAAAAGAATCAGTGCTAAAACAAAACTCCTACTCCCAACCAGTCACAAGTCCCAAAGAAAGCCCTCGCGGACCGCATTAATGCGTCATCTGGTTTATATATAGCTGGGCAATTAAATTGCGCGTTGTACGTACTTATGGACCAACTAATATGCCCAACTAGTTGTGTTCTTGTGTTATAATTTGTAACTTAATTAATAATAATTTCGTGCAGGTCCACGGTAGACGTCATTCAAACGCATACCGTTAAGTGCAAAAAATATTCTATTCTAAGTAAGATACGTATGTAAGGTACGTATCCCCAAAATGGGTTATGACCTTGAGTGCTTAAACGTAAAAGCAAATTTTTAGAAAATTGAGCCTAATAATAATTGTTTATTGCACAAAGAAAAGACTGGACAAGCGCGTATCTGCACCAAACCAAATTTCACAGGAGAGGGATTTCAATGGCCATTTCCATTTTTGCCCAGTAAGCATTAATTTATGTTGTCTACGGACTGATAACAATAGATTCCCGTAAATCACATTAATTTGGTTGCCACGACATTTACGCGGGTTTGATTTGGCCACTAAATTGGGTACCAAAATGGAAACTCATAATCTAATGTTTATCTCCGACGATATACAAAGGTGAGCTTATGTCTAGGAGAGATCTCTTCCAGGCAACCCTAGCCGTGGTGACTAGAGAAAGAACCTAATTAGGTTTCTAAGAACCTAGTAAGGTCTAAATCAGGCTAATAAACCTCAAGGCTACATGTTAACGTCACACACAAGATGGCGGTATTATGCCAAAACATGTATTTAGGTGCCTAATCATTATTTCCGTGGTCTCTTCAGTTGTAAAAATTGGAGAATATAGAGCTTCGTTTTCAACTCTAGTTGCATTAAACGGTTCGCGCCATGTTCCCCTGATGTCGGTTCCCCCATTTTTTGGCCCTCTACCCGACAGGGCGGAGCTAGGAATATGGTGCACACGAAAGTAATGAAATCGACTTCGTAGTGAGAACCGGCACATATTTGCCTCGGATTTCAAAACAATAGGCAGATGGAGCGTACGCAGCAAGAGAGGTGAAGCAGCTTTTCATTTACTGTCTGCGTGAAAACCAGGAAAGGCTAGACTATTAGGGGCATACGCATCTGTGTGCATGTAAGATTGCCAGATGCAGCGAAAAAACTCCCGCAGTTTTTAACCGACTTCAAAAAAGCAGGTTCTCAATTCGTCTGTATGTTTTTTTTTGTATGTATGTTACGCGGTAACTCATTTGGCGGCAACGGCATTTGTGAACGGATTTTGATGACTATTCTTTTTGTTGGAAAGAGGGTACCTCAGATGTGGTCCCATTTAAAGTTGAAGAAAATATTCCACCTCTAAGGGTGGCTAACTAGGGGACTTACAAATAAATGGACGACGGGTCTAATACAAAAACCACGAAAAAAATGTCCCAAGTCAACCTATTCGAAATTTAAATTGTAATGTCATCGCAGTATCGCGCTGTCAGTAGAACAAATGAAGACTAAAGCGGAGTGTCGCGCTCTGTATACGATTTTAGCGCCTTACAAGTGCGGACACTTTTTAGCGCGGACCCGACGTCCATATAATTGTAAAAGCTAAAATTTCAATTGTTTTTGAACATTTTCTTTTGTGTATACTATGGCTATTACTATTAGAGATTAGTTTGAGAATTATTTAGGTAAATCCGAGTTATCTAAAAAAAAATTTTGACCGCTGTAGATGGACCCACCTGCATGTAATATGCACGCATTATTTAATTTCTATATAAAAGTATAAATTAATCAATGCTCCTATGATCCATGCATATTTACCAAATTTAAGGAAACCCATTTCGATATAAACTGGCAACACACACGAATTTCCGTCTCGATGTTTTGTGTTTGGAGTGAATCCCAAAAAACCTGTGAAAAGATATTCCACATTCTTTTTTTTTTGTTTTTGGGAACAACTTTTGCAATGTTAAAAGACACAAGACGTCATTTTTAAACATAAAATAACAAACACTAGTGACGCACATACAGTCGTCCCTTGACGCGAGATTGTATTCGCTTTTGCGATTTGTATTTGCTTTAGTGACTTCACTCTCGTGTTCGTCGCACTACATCTGCCTATTGTTTTGTAATCTGAAATATTTACATATATTTTGAAAAAAATATCGATAGTTTTCTAGAATATTGGGAATATCTCAAAATACCTGGTAGTATTATACCTTGACCAATGTTGTCACGTGATTATCATAAACAATTTAATACTCTGGTATTTTCAATATAATCTTGAATACAGCTTTGTATTAAGTAGACTTCGTTTACCTGAACTTCCAGGAAATAACACCCATAGAGTGCGTAATACCCCCTTTGAAATGCCGGAATATTGTTTGTATGTTGTTTTGTTCTATATTTTTTTGTGTAAATAGTGCACTTAGAACCATTTTGTTTTGATTATTTGCCTCTTGTTTTGAAATCATTCCGGGGTTTCAGCGGAAGGTTTTATGCACTCTAGATGTATTACTTGAAGTTAACGTAAATATACTATGCTTGTTCTGATGTCTAGTAATATATAACATATGATTTTTATTCGGAACTCTATTCTTGAAAATCACCGATATGCAATGCTATTAAAAAATAAATCTTCCTAATTCTGTTGCTCTATCTAATTTATCCGACCTATTATAAATATAGTAGGGCGCTTAAAGAAAAAAGCCCTTAACGCTTTACTTTCGAAATTCGTCGTATATCTTAAATATTTTGTAAGTAATGCTTATCCTAAACACAAAAACATAAATTTTTAACTTGTGTCTGTATTATGAATGGATCAGGGGGCCTGCCACAACCTTTTTAACCTTACACTGACTTTTCTTACCATAACGCGCTTAAAGTAAGCTTATTATAATGTTAAAACTATGATGTTTTATTGGCAGCTTTGTGATTATTCACACGGTTCGTACTATGACGCGACTTTAATAAAGTAATATTGTTATGTCAAATTTAGCAATCTTAAAATAGTTACACGGATGCAATGGAAACAATATTATTTTCAGTTTTATTGTCTTAATATTGATTTGTAATGATGAAAACTTAAGTTAAACTTATTTATTTACATGTATCTCTTCAATATTTTGTTTTTTTTTATTTAATAGTACATAGGAAATAATTTCAAAAATACGCCATGTTTATGTCGTAAAATTATGACAGCGACATCTACATGCTCCTTGGCGACACTAACAGTTGACACTACACTGTAATTCCAAATTCATAACGTGACGATTCAACACTCACTTGTTTTATTAATTTCTCTTCATGAAAATGCGAAAAAATAATTGAATACAAAGTAATTTTAATGGATTTTACTATTACATGTTTATCTTTTTTTAACAAATAAAATTCTCTGAATGTAAATAACATTAAGTACTTAAATATTATACTACGATAAGACGATTTGGAAAATCAAAAAATAAAGAGATGGCATTATATAGCTCATATAGCGTTATTTCTTTCCTATTTTAGTAAGGAACGGACAATATTGGGAAATCATTCGTTCTTTCAATCACTTTAGCAATAATACATTACTTTGTTGACAGGTTTATCATGGTACCAATATGAGTAATATTATAATAATCTTACTTTAAGCTTACATTGAAATAAGATTGTTTTTGGAAACGTTATGGTAGGCCCCCAGTGTTTTTAAACCAAAATTAGTCCTTCAAGGAACATGTTTATTTTGTTTACAAAATTTCATCATTAACTTATGCCAATAAAACTACAAAAAGATACATTTTTTAAATTTATTTTAAACGTGTTTCTGTTTGTTACTTTTGTTTTTACTCATTTCGCAGTGGTTGAAAGGCATTCGTAATAAACCTTTTTCGAATATAATTGGACGTTTCATTTATAGATTAGAACTAGCTTTCCTAACGCTGTTTATTTTTATCATACGCGATATATCTATACTATTTAACAGTATTCATACATTAACATTATTTATTTTTGTAAAACATCATAGATTGTCTGATAAATCATGGACCAAAACGTGATGATAGGTAAAGTAGATCATTATACATTGTGGTAAACTAAATTTTGAAAAATCTTCCCAGAACTCTATTACTCACAACATAACTTTTGTACCGTGGCTTTTTCACAAAAAGAATAAATTTGCCAAATATAATGTTTTAAGTTTTTGTTGTGCTACCGGACACCGTGCAAGAGTCGTCCCCAACGACAGGCACCCGCGCTCATGTATTTTGCACATTATTACCTATTATTATCACCCGTGCAAAAATTTAAGTAATGGAACAAAAGATTATGATAGTGATATAGACCTGCGAAGTTGTTAGTATTTTACAAATTACAAATCACCCTGTAATGTATGTTGTTGATTCTGGTTAAATGAAGAGATAGCAGATTTTTTCCATTTCTCATCAATCCTATGGGTTGGTGCCACGGATTTGTCAGTCAATATTCTATACACACAAACTAAAGCTCTAGGAAACACGAGTGCCATCTCTTGTGGCATCCCGTGACACTACATCAGATGTGATCCTCTGTGACCGGACCACCTAGTGCTTCTGCCCATGGACAACTTCATTAACGTAGGTCATAAATGATAAATTTCAGTTTGAAAAGACCGTAGATTTAGTATGCAGATTGTAAACTGGCGGATCTCTTCGAGTGAACAGGGATGCAACGCAATAATGTGTTTAATTCAAGTTTGCAATTTCAGAAATGTGTTATTCAGAGTAGCCATGTTTATTTTGAAAAAAATTATCCCTATTCACCCATAAGGTCCGTTTCACCCCAGTTCAATTTGAGTTTACATGTTCGTTCTCATTAGCTAGTGAGCTCAGCTAATTTAATATCTCTTGGCTGGCGAAGACTCCTGCGAAGAACGTGAAGGAAGCGAGGCGGTGGACGCGCTTGAGGAACGGATAAGGCGGGATAACTGCGATAGTGACGCTGTCGCCCACGGCTCGAGGGGGCTACCCGGCTCGGGGATCGGAGATATTCTAGGAGATAGAACGATATTAAGAGACTGCTTTAACTTATTGTTTTCGATTAAGAAAAAAAAAAAACAACTGAATGAGTTTAACAGCTTTGGGTGATACAAACAAGCAATATCTTCAGGATGTACGTGTTGAAAAAGATGAAAGGACGTCAATTTTATTTTCTCTGCGTAGCAACAAACGATAACATTATCACTTTAGAGATACTCTATTTTAGTTTTATTTTTAGTACCTTTTTATGGTTGTTTTTTAGAGTTCAGTGCAAACCTGCAAGAAACTATGTCAATGTACTATTTAAATCTTTGCATGCTGGGAATTCCACTCCAATGCAATACGCCATACGTGAAAACGCTTATATATTTATACGCTTATATATATATATATATTATATATATATATATATCTTTGGCTTGTTCATAACTTGGGGGTGGAACCCCAGCATACGGATCTCCCGATGCCTTTTTTCGGTGAATAGCAGGTGGAATGGGGTATGGCAAAATTATTTCATGTCAACGGTCCTTGATGTATACTGACAAGCAGACAGGTAGAAATTGGGGACAGAATTTGAAAGAATCTATAATATTCTGCTAACTTTATCCTTTGCAAACAGGATTCTCTACCCTTCGTTTTTGGGTGGATCTTTTAAAATTACCTATTCCGTCTGGGCCGGGCAGTCTTGGGTCGCGATCGTTTCTTCTCATGCTTCACCACTTTGCATGCCCCTTCCACTTCAGCTCCGCTGCCTGCTCCTAAATTAAAGAAAAAATATACATACGAAACTGCCACACATGGGGCCAGTCACCACTGAGTGGTAGCAGACGGGAATAAAAGTATTAGTCGCCACGCTGACTGGGTCGGAATCTATTTTGTTATGACTATGTTGATTACTTACCAACGACGAAAACGGAATGCTGCACGGGTGCAGCCGGCGCATGACCGGTGGCAGTCATAATGCACAATGGTCTTACAGCTCGAATTCTAGCCGTATCGTCTTTGCGACCACCTACAGCTCTGCAAAATATTTGATTGCGTTATTGAAACTCTATTAAAAGGACTAGCCACACATATCCGGGGCGTGCTAGTTTCTATGAACTGCGGGCCCGTCCCGGCCCCGGCCCCGGCCCGGACACGGACATGTGTGAACGAGTTCATACAAAATATACACAACGATATTTTTTGAGCACCTGACGGAGCACGGACCGTCCACGGCCCAGATATGTCTGGATAGACCTTTATTTGTTCATATTTTTTTGTATGTACACAACATTGCCGGCGATATGTTTTAAAATGGAACGCTATAATATCATTGTAGAACGCGAATTTGTGGCCTTATATTTTAAATTTCAACCAATTATTAAAAATTTAATTTTTTTCGATCCTCTAAAACAAAAATACGTTCTTTTTTTGAGACTCTTCTGTGTACGGAAATGAAAAAATAGTTACTTGTAAGGCAAGGCTGCAAAGTTGTCGGTTGACACGAATGCTTGTATTGACTAAAGATTGAAGGTTCAAAGTAACAATCCTGAACGTAGCGAGGGTGTCAAGACAAGACGCATAACACTGCTGCCGAGCAAAACAACTTTACACAGAAAATGGTAAATTAAAGAAAAAGAATTGAACCAACAAATTAATCTAATAAACAAAATTAGTTCGGTATCGGTGTAAATTTAAAGTCAACAGAAAAATGAAATCGACTCATCCGTAGAACAAAGACCTATGTGTAAGACTGCTTATTCTCAGGACACTACGGGTCGTATTCCAGAACTTTACTCAATGCTCAAGTCAGGACTTGATTATGGTTTCAAGCACTGGAAATACGACCTTAATGGCAAGGACTTGAGTATGATTTCTAGTGTAGAGTGAGTAGAGATCTGGAAAACGAGCCTGAATTTCTATCGTTCATCGCTGTGGATATAATATCGATCGTTGTTCGATTTTATATTTCCGAAATGAAATAACATAAAAATTCAGAAAACACCTATAGATAGGCCTTAGTTTCAACATCAAGATTATGTATTAATCCTCGTTTCGCTGTATAATCACATCAGACTCTGTTCTTCGAATGAGTCGAAATATGCCAACGGATGTTTATTACTTAAATAGACGTAGTTAAGCAAAAAGGATTCAATCCACTAAATTATCAAATACTGAGATATGTACCAAACGGTTCCTAAAGTCTAACCTCTTAGATCAGCAAAAAAATCCAACATAATTATAAACATAAATAAATATCTTGAGTTACATGACATAAGTTTTGAAGATAAAGCAAGAGTGAGAAACACTTCAAACTGCCATTATCGACTGTGAACTGGCAATCGGCAACTATCTCAATTTTGACAATTTTAAGGTGAAGAAAAAAATTGTTTGCGTCATTTATTTATATATACAGCTTATATAGCATCTTTCAAATATTTAATTTTAAATCTTTTTATTACACATGTATGTATGCACACTATGTACGTATTTTTATTTTATTAACCAGACGCTATTTAAATGTTTTTTCATTAGGCGTTTACGTGATTATAGGAATGTCTGATGAATCATTTTAAATGATTGACCAGTCTACAAATTTATTTGTTGGTCAATGCTACAATTAAATTTATATATAAATGTTTAATGATCTGTCAATATTTTATTAGCGAGACAGCATACTTAAGCTACAAATTCATATCAAAGGGAAGACAGGGAAGTGAACGCTCATTAAGATTGATTCACGATGCTTAAATTCAGGCAATATTGCCAGGATATAATAAGCATTGTGAATCTATCTATAATAATTTCCGGGTATAAAGGCAATCAGCCATTTCATATTGTCGATTCTACATTGACATTGACGTACCGAGAAAGAAAAATGTAGGTAATTGTTCCGGCCGGCATTGTTTTTCGAACTTTCGCCAGGACTTCGCTTAGTGCCTGAGTTTGCGCAAAAACGAGTACAAAGTAATTAGATTATTGGTTTGTTTTCTATTGAAACAATTACCCTAATAAGAGGGATTATTTACTTGTCATAATATGATGTGTAAATAAATTTATTGCTAATAATGGAAGTATAATGCACAGACTTATGCATAATGGCGTCGTTAAAATCGGTCGGTTTTAGTAATTCCGATGACATAACCGAGTTTTTAGAGTGTAGAATTGATCTAGTTAAGTCTCATTCATGAAAAACGCGAACAGGGTTGTAGGTACCTATAAGGTATTTTCAACCTTTTCATTCGAGTTTAATAGTTGGTCGTGAATATGTTTTTAGTTAAACAAATTTGTACACAATCAAAATGATAACTCCAATGAACTCTACGCCAACTTTATTTTTTGGTCAATTTTTTGTTATTTTTGTATACAGCCATATTTATTTACTAATATTATGCTCCCCGAATATTGTGGAAAAAAAAAGAAACAAAAAAATCGAAAAAACAAAACTAATTTTGTGAAAGAAAGAAATAAAAACAGAATAGGTCCAAAAAATTAAGTTGGTGTAGTGTTCATTGGAGGTATAGAAAGGGAAAGTGGAACATAGCAGCACTAACAGGCATTAGTATGAACTCTTATGTGCGTTGAAAGCACTCGACGAGTTTCAGAAATGTATGAACAGGTGAACGTATATGTATATATGCCCTTGAATTGAATTGTATATATATCCCTTGTCCCAAGTAACGTATGTGCAATTTGACAACTTTCGAGATATTGTCATATAAAGATTTTTTGTTCGAAAATGTCAATTACGCTGATTTTGCTTAACAATAAAACAAACTAAATAAGAAGTATTATTGAAATTTTTTTAGTGTTTATATAATATCAAGTGACGGGACGAACAAGTCGTATGCCTGATGGTAAGCTACACGCCAGTCCATAACAGTTGCAGTGCCACTCGGAGCTTTAAAATTTCAAAGAACTGAGTGGCACCGCCACTGCGCTCGTCACCCTGAGACATAAGTTGACAAGTTCCACGTGCGTGTAATTCACCCGTACCCTTCAAAACCGGAACGTATTAATGCTCACTCACGTATCAATGCTTGGCGGCAGCATTTGGTAAGGTAAAGTACTTCCCTGGACGAACTCTTTCACAAGGAGCTCTACTAAAGTGCCACTAGTGCAGCTGCTCTTGTACTCACGAGTTCTCAGAACTAGGCTGTTCATCCCAAGGAGCGTCGCTCTCTACTGCACTGCTTTCTGATGCCACTAAATACATGGATCTGTAGGGAAAAGTTACTTGCACTTTATAGTACTTCTTTACTGATCTAGGTTTTGTATTCTAGAGTGGTGCTACCTTCTAGTGGCCGACTTTGACGATTTTACAGTTAATTGACGGCAAGTACCGCAAGATGTACAGTTGCATGAAAGTTTTTTTAGTATAGGTAGGTATATGTTAAGACTTCAGTCAAATATTTTATAGGCATTAAGCTTCGGCTTTGGTTGGTCATCATCAATGGTCGGAAAAAGGTGTTCCACATAATATATAGATACATGTATGGATATAGCTACAAGGAGCGACATAGAGTTGTTAAAACCACCAAATATTAATTAATCACCGTTTCGAATTCCGAATTACCGGAAATGGTATTTTTATGATATGGACCTTTTCCCAAAATAGAATAATGAAGTAACGAGAATAGTCATTTTTCGCACTTCCCCAGCTTTAGATACCGCATATTGACGGAATGGCTACCTATACATTTGCTAGTAAAACTTAAGAAAAGAAAAATAATTAAATTTTATTTACCAGGGATTTTTAGAGGAATTTTAATATATTAGTTTGCATGAGAATAGTGATAGCACTCTAAAATATTTTATTTTCGAACCACTAGCAGACATGTAACTATTTTAAGAGGAAAATGTTCACACTAGATAATTTTAATACTTTTTATAAAAAAAACACTGCTGGACGCTTAAACAAGACGAAAAATGGCTATTTATCTTCTTAGATATATTATAGAGAGGAATTTCTTTCGTCCGAACATCCGGAATTCGAAAAAAGTAATTAATTAATATTTGGTGGTTTTAACTTTATGTCGCTCCTTGTACTATATCTATACATGTATGTATATTTGTATAACACATTTTCCGCCCATTGGTCATCATATCCGAATGAAGGGTACAAGAGTTCCAATTCCGAGTAGGTTCAATTCTGTTTGTCAATTTCGAAGAAAAAATTCGCCTAGACTTGGCTGTATGGTTATAAACCTATGCCTTTTTAATTAAAGGAAAAAATAAAAGGAAACAACAGTACATGACTTCCGTCATCAAGCAGTAATTTTGTAGCCGCTAAAAGATACCGACTATTCTATTTATGAACAACGGTTCATTTAACTTAACGAAAGTTCAACTTAACTAAGTTTAAGGAATGCCTAATTCGTTCCCTGTCATCAATGTTCCCTGTAGTCGAATTCGAAGTAAGATCTTGTTCTTACAAGAACCCATTTTCAAAGCCTTAATCATAGACTAACAGAGGATGAAATAGATTTACTTACATCGCACATTAAATCAAATACTGTCGTAACTCAAAATTGCCAATTGAAAATTTTAAATTAACTGAATGGATGTCATTGCGAATAATATGATTATTTTTATTTATACCTCATACTTAATTATCCATTTGTAAACGAGACTGTACATAAAATTGTTTACATTCAGTATTTTTCAAATTGTCTAATTGTGTGCGACATATCTCTAGGTAAAGAATCTTAACTGCCAAATAGTTATATTTTTACTACAGAGCGTTTAATCTCTTACTTAGGCACTGAAAATCAATTTAAAGGTCGGGAACCTAAAATATGTTAAATAATAACGCACTCTATAGTGCACACTCATGGCCCAGCACTAGGGAAACCCTGTATCGCGGGTGCCATGGACATACACATAGACAACCACAAATTACACCCAAACTCACGAGAGAAATAGATGTAAGACATACGAATATTTCCCCCAGCACGGGAATCGAACCCGGGACCTCTGCGTGGCAGTCCAGCGTGGTAATCGTTCGGCCACGGTGGCAGTTCAGTGTAAATAAAAAACAAACGACAATAGGACTTAGGTCTTTTACCATTGCGTGATTTTTAGCATTCCAAATTCTAAAGCAATATTTGTGAAAACATCTAAATTCCAAAATATGGACTTGAGGTGCTTTACCTCTCACGTAAGTACAGAATTCATAAATACCTTGCTGGTACGTATAGATGTGGCGGGGGAGGTGCAGCGCGGCGGGACGCCGACCGAGCTCTTCTGGCTCGTGACGCTCGGCCCAGCAACACGGACTCTGAAGAGGTATTCGAAAGTGTCTGGCTTGGTTCGAATATAAAACATCTCTAATCCTATGAGAAGACGGAAGAACTTCACACACGCACGCATGCTCGCACGCATGCACGCACGCACGCACGATCAATGAAAAAGTAATTACTCATTTGCCGAGAAATATTGTTAAAACTTATATATATGTAGTTCAAAGTTTATCACAGACATCTAAACAGTTTCCTACTTCCGAAATATTACATTTAAAAATAAAAGGGAAAAATAATTTCGTATTTTTTAGTAAGCTGTTTTGTCCAGAAATAGCTCACAAAAAAAATTTTCTCATTTTGAGTTAAATACATATATTTCAATTGTTTCTTGCAATACTCAAACGACGGTTTTATTGACTTGAAGAGAATCAAATTTTACATTCAGCTGTAGCATAATCCTGAATTTAACATATTTTGAGTTACAACACTATTGTAATAACAGTGCGATATGCTGCTCACTTTTTTTATTACTGCAAATGCACATATTCGTACCGTACATTTAATTCCCTACATATGAGCGCGGATAATAGACCAACCGGCGGCTAAAACGAATTTGTATAACGGTGGTTGTTTTTATAAAAACCGTTGTACAAATACTTTTTCAAAGGAAAAAATAAAATAACGTATTTTGTATAGTAATTAAACTTTTATCAGTTCGATCACGCGCTCCAATCGTAAACACGCGCACGCTTCCCTATTGTGTATGCGTAGTGAAAATGGCGACGCCAGAAATTAATTTTTGGCGTCGCCAGAAATAAATTCTAGCCTACACTGTAGAAGACAAGGCAAATCTTTTTGCATCACTCTTTGCAAAGAGTTCGCCTAGTTCTGAATCTAGAGGTGAATGAAGCTAGCGGGCCAGATGGAATTCCAGCACTAGTCCTACGTAACTGCGTCTGAGTTGTCTTCTGTTCTCACACGCCTACGTCTGTACTGCCTCTCACTTGAGACTGGTGTAGTTCCCAAGTCGTGGAAGCCTGCAAACGTGCAACCTGTGCCGAAAAAGAGAAGCACAGTTGACTCTGTCAACTATAGACCTATCTCAGTCACTTCCATACTCTTCAAGACTGGAACGTGTATTCAACAACTGTCTCCAGTTGAAGACATCGACCTCCTCAGTGGTCGCCAGCACCAGTCCCCCTAGATTCCGACGAGGGCGATCTACTGGGGATCTTCTTGTGTATGCCTGTGACATATGGAGCAAGGCTATAGAAAAGCAAGGCGAAGCACTTACAGTTTCTTTGGATATTTGTAAAGCCTTTGACAGGGCCTGGCACGCGAGCCTTTGCAATTGGATCTCGGATTTCTTGAGCGAACGTTCGATTCCAGTGGTCTTAGAAGGCTACTCTTCCGAACATATGGCGATAGATTCCTCAGGGTTCCGTACTGTCTGCAACTCTTTTTCTGCTGCATATCAATGATATGTTAATTTCAGGTACCTTTGCGTATGCTGATGACAACACAGTTGTAGATAGGTACTTGACCAAAGCAAGGGTCAGTGGAGAGGAAATCCAGTCTTGTCGCGAGTCCATGGTTAGCCGTTACGCAGGCGTGTTTATTCTCCATAAAACGGAGGCCCTTTGAGCTGACTCCCGACTTTTCGTGATATATCCATATCAAAAACCGACTGTCTGCAGCTTCTTGGAATGGACCAGGTACATTGAATCCATGGCCAAACATGCAGCAAGGAACCTTTCTAGGGTGAGGCGTTACTTCACACCGAGACAGTCCCATATCTTTCTACATAAGTTTGGTTTATAGTGCACATCCCTAACAACCTCTAGGTTATGCGGGAAGGTCACCATGACTTGTGCAAGCGAGCTTGCATTAGGTCAGACAGGTCCCGTTGCGCTCCGCAAGACTAATGGTTGCCATCGCTGAGCCGCCGGCTCTAAGCCGACTACCAAATCTCCTCATTGGTTGCGGAGCTGTAAGCCACGCTCACTTCCCGACGCCGAATGAACGGCGTCACGCCAAATTCCTACGCGGCCGGAGGGACCAGAAGATGCCTAGCTCATCCTCTACTAGCTCTCGGGGCTAGTGCCGGAGATGCCAAGTGGCAGTGTCCTGCATCAATGTCCGGACATAGCCACCGACTTCAAGGGCAACTCACGTGCCCCGCGCGTCTCCTCGCCTCAAGCCATCAACTAGACCGCTACTAAGACGCGCTAGCTGCGCGAGAAACGCTCCGGTCACATGCTGTTGGGGCAGATAAAAGTGTTTGTCCCTGCAGCTAACTACAAACTCCGGCGAGTCCATACTCAAGTCCGGGTCCGCCAGAGACGCCCGTGAAGACGTATAACTGGCGGAGTGCTTGGCCCGGACGCCCGCCGTACCCTGGTCTTGCCGTCGAGCCCGCAGTCTCTCCTGAAAACCCTATCTCCCTATCTCGGCAGATAGGGACAGTTGCTTCAGCTGTACCAAGCACAAGTCCGGTCGTGCATGGAGTATTGCTGCCACGTTTAGGATGGCTCTGCTACATACCAACTGGCCACCCTGGATTCAATTGACAACCGTGTCAAGAAGCTTATAGGTGCCTTGGAATTAGTGGAGGCGAAGCTGCAGAGCCTTGAACGCCGCCGTAAAGTTGCTAGCTTATCGATATTTTACACTAGGATATATCACGGAGAGTGAACAATGGAATTACACGATTAAATTCCGCTTTCCCCTTTCCATCACAGAGTGACTAGGCGTAGACTTGGTTTCCACCTCTATGTTGTGGATATTCCAAAGATTCGCACGACGCGTTACGGTTCCACATTTATATGGCGAACGGCTATGGAGTGGATTTCTCTGCCTGCAGACTTGTTCCCTGAACATTATAACTTGGGCCTTTTCAAGGCGAAAGTGAATAGACATTGTTTAGGTGTGCATGCTCCATCGTCGACTTCATCGTCACTTTCCATCAGGTGAGATGGAGTTAAAATGCGAAGTTGCATTTTATATAAAAAAAAATAAGTTTTATCTTAGAAAAGTCATTTTCTGGCGTCGCCATTTTCACACATTACGGAAGCGTGCGCGCGTGCGTACGATCGGAACGCCTGATCGAACAGAACGGCACGCCGATTGCGTTGCGCCGATCGATTGATTAGTCAGCGGCGGGGGTGCGAGGAAAAACGCCGCGGCGGCGGCGGCGCGCCGGCGCGACGCTCATATCTATTCCCTACCCACAAGTCACGTTCACATATCAGCGAGAAGGGGTTGATTAAAATGTATGTATTTTGTGTGTTTACTAACTTAGGCATAAGGTTATAATTGTCACTAACACGTTATGGAGACATTCTGAAATAAACAATTATTATTATTACGTGTGGCGCACTTTAAGTTTCCGGAATGAATAATAAAACATATTAGAAATGGTCAGAAATGAATTTATTGATTCTCAAAATATTCTCCGTTAGCGTTATTGCACTTTTTCATACGAATGAATCAATTTTGAAAACATTTATGCCACTCCTCCGTGACAATATCAGAAACATATTTTTCATACTCTTCAACAGCCACTTCAGGTGATGAAAATCGTTGACCGCGTAACTGGTTCTTAATTTTTGGAAATAAATAAAAGTCACAAGGTGCCAGGTCGGGACTGTACGCGGGATGGCTCATTAGGTCAACGTTGTTCACGTTCAAAAATTTATTTGTCTGTCTGGCCGCGTGGGAACTGGCATTATCGTGGTGCAAGATGATACGGCGTTTACGGTTATTTTTACGGAGTTTGTCAATAACTTCCGACAAACAAATGGTCGTGTACCAATCACTTTTCACGGTACAACGATTCTCCAAAGCAACAGTAGCTACATGTCCAGTTTTATTAAAAAAAAGAAGCAATCACCCGCACTAGAGACACACATAGAGGCATTTTGCACTCGCGCCACTTTGGTTGGTTTTGGCTCATCTCGAAAGACCCTTACGCTCGATTGCTGCTTTGTTTTGGGATCGTAACTATAAATCCATGTTTCGTCACCTGTTACTATTTGGTTTCCACCTCTATGTTCCCACACCAAATTTGACGACCCTTCGTTGAATCTGGTAAGCATGGCATTGCACCAAGTGACGCGATCCGTTTTTTGAGCCTTAGTCAAATTGTGTGGGATCCACCGAGAGCACAGCTTTTTCACACCCAAATGTTTGTGTAGTATTGATTGTATTTGACTCATGCCTATACCTAAAGACGCCCGAATCTTATTGTATGTCACATGCCTGTCTGTTTTGATCATACGGCGCACAGCATCGATGTTTTTGTTGTTCACAGCAGTGGACGGGCGACCATCACGAATATCGTCACTGAGATTCACACAACCGCGTTTAAATTCTGCAAACCAGCTTTAAATAGGCGTCTTGCATGGTGCTTCATCGCCAAAAGCAGTTAACACACTTACACTTAAAGTCGTAGAAAACCATACTACGAAAATTTTCACGAGTTAAATCCATGGTGATATAAACAACCAATTTCTAAAATGCCGCCACAATATAAAAACAAGTGACAGTCAAATGTTGTAATTACTTTTTAAATATTGTTTATGTAAGTGGCCAGTTCCGGAAACTTATAGTGCGCCCTATGTATTACAAAAAAGCTAACAAGGGGTTGGAAGCGCCTACCTGATATAGGATCACTATCGCTATGGTCCTGCCGTTCGCGCCTCCATCCGGAATCGGCGGCGGGTGCATCGGCAGCCACACCGAACAGACCGGACACCGCCCCCGCTACTACCTTACGGGCTGACTTTGCTGCCATCTAGATTAAACACGCAACAGTCTGAAACTCCACTGAAGGTTAGAATCTTTCTAAAAAAAATGCTACTACATTCGCTACTCGAATTGGCGGTTGTAGAAAAGTATTTTAAAAACCATGGAAGAACTAATATTTATGTGTTCTTTGTTAAAAACATTCAAAAGTAATATTGGAACGCCTACCACTAATATAAAATCAATTACCGAACATAACTGGTACAGATCGAGTCTTAGGTTTTCGCGATTGTTCCACATAGGAAATGAAACTATTTTTCCGGATTTAAATCGCGTATATTTGTTTTTTCAAACAAACCGACGTTTCGGGCCCTTGACAGGTCCCGTGGTCACGGTTGACAGAGGTGGTACAGTCATCAACCAGTTATGTCTAATATTAATGCAAACCACCCTATATCACTATACTTACAAAAGTTATTAACTAAATACCTTATTTTTAATTTTACAAAGAAACATTCCAATTTCCCACGATATTCACCACAAAAACCCCAAGATATTCACCACGTGTAGATAATGTAGGTATGAAGTGATTTCCTTTTCGTGTCTACAGATATAGTCACTCAGCATCAACAAACAGCAAAAACTACTTACGCTAACATTAATATCAATCTCTGGTACATTGTCCAAATTAGCAGCCTGTTCTGCCAGATCCCGAATGTCAGATTCTTTAGCACTGCCCGTTTCCACTAGGATTACTAGCTCAAAGAAGTAGTCTCTGAATACTTCGTCACAAGGGGCTGAAAATTGTGTCTTTTTTTAATAATACTAAGTGACAGGACAAACAAGTCGTGCACCTGGCAGTAAGCGACACGCCTATCTATAGTAATTGCAGTGCCACTCAAGAGCTTTAAATGACGAAGATCAGCATGCTGATTCCTACTATATCTTTCTAATTTGTGAGTTAAATCAACTATTGTTCCGATTTGAAATGTCAAAACTTTCCGATCGGCCAGTTGTGAATCGCAATTATGCACCTCGACTCGGGAAAGACGCAGTTTCCGATCGGGAGAGGCAATCAAAATCAAGCTGCTGAGGGGCATCGCCACTGCGCCCGACACCTTAATACGTAAGTTAACAAAGTCCCATGTGCCTGTAATTTTACCAGCACCCTTGCCCTTCGTAACTGGAACGTAGTAATGCCGACCTTACTACTTGGTGGCAGTATTTCCCTGGACAAAATCCTAAAATTTTTGTTTGTTTTAACGGTTATGAAAAACTCGTGGACCTACGCAAAACACTGTGTGGTGGGCTAGATCATTAATTTATATTAACTACATATGCGTATAGACTGATAGCAGGTTGTCTAGCCTGAAGGTTAAACTTACGTGGTACTGCTGGCGGCATTTCAACAATGCCCATACCAATTCCAAGAAATTGACTTTGAGTTCCAGCAAGGGATGCATCGTATATCATAGCAGGGTGAACTCCTTGCAGTGCCATTGGTGATAAACCTTGCATTCCCATAGGTGATAACCCTTGCATTCCCGTAGGAGATACCCCTTGCAACCCCGTGACAGGTACCCCTTGTGCACCTATGGTAGGTCTCCCTGGCACACCCACAGCGGTAGCGGACAATCCAGTCACTCCTATGTTAGTTTGAATCATTCCAACTCCTGTACCAGCTTGCGCTTGTAACCCTGGGGTACCCATTCTTACGCCAGGAGTCCCTGCCATGCCCATAGCTGGGACACCTGTAAAAGAAAGAAAGAAATCTCAAGGAAGTCCTGTTATTTCTTTAGAAAGAAGACTGCGTCTCTTCCAACCATTTGCAATCTAGATTCGCCACAAGACACTTGTTGTTATTTATGGGAAAGCCACACGCTAAGATATCCAAAGTGGAGTCATAAACTCGTCTTCAGTTTGCAATCGGCCACGGTAGCCTAAGTTTATCAATATTTAGTGTATGGGTATACTTATTACGTACCAGTCATTCCCACTACAGTTCCTGGTTGCGATACGGTAATGCCAGGCATTTGTCCCATGTTAGGAGTCATTCCTGGTCTTTGGACTCCTGGAGCTAAACTTCCCTGAGTTCCCGTGGTAGTTACTCCTGGCGTCGTGCCTTGTTGTGAAGTAATAATTCCTGTTTGCGGCACAGTCAATCCTGTTTGTGGCACAGTCAGTCCTGTTTGTGGCACAACCATTCCCGGCTGTGACACAGTCATTCCTGGTCTTCGAGCCCCGAGACCTACGAGTCCCGGAGTCCCGGTTGTAGATGCTTGTGTCATTTGAGTCGGTCCTGTTCTTGCTGTGCCGTTGACTAGGAGATCAGGAGTTGGATGTTTATGAACTGTTGTATCTGAAACTGATTGGTAAAATTTTGGTAAAAAAAAGAAAGGGAAGGTCTGGTATTTTATAACTAAGGAATCACCACGGTTAGCGTATGGTTTGGCGATCGGAGTCTCTACGAGAAGATTCGACTCAAGGTTACCTAAAGCTGGATTTACATTTACATAGTCGTTAGAACGGTATCGGTTTCATACATTTAATATGGTTAGATTTATATTAGTGCGTCGCAATCTGACATGACGGTTTGTGCTGTGTGTATGGAACTGATACCGTTCTGGCGCGTCACTACACGACACGTCAGACAAATGTAAATCCTGCTTAAGATACTAATGTTTCTATGATACCAACCCATGGAAAAAAATATTTAACGTTGTTAAAAAGAATTATTATTGGGAATTTTATATTATTCCAATGCTATTCCTTGTTTCTTCCTTCTTATTCTTCCTTCTAATCGGAATCACATTCCCCTTAACATGTGTATGGATACTCTCTTAGTAAACATTTTGAAACCTCACCTATAGTTCCGGGTGCGAAATCCAGCTCGGTGATCGCCATGACGTTGAATGCTGATGTTAAGGCTGAGCCCACTCCATCACCAGGGGCACCCCCCAACCCTGCTGAAGTTACGTCCGGAGGCGGCGCCCGACTGTTAATAAAGTTATTAAACAAAAAAGTCGACCATAATCGTGACCAAAGGTGGCACAAGCGTTTGGGCTGTGAACGGATCTGTTTGGGAAATTAATTGGTGTACTGGTTAGTGCCCAGAAGTCAATTCCATTGCTCTGGTCTGATAATCATATTCATCATCCGGCCTGTAGACGTCCACTGTTGAACATAGGTCTCCCCCGAAGATTTCCAGACTAGTCGATCGGACGCGGCGTGCATACATCGATTACCCGCCGCGCTTACCAGATCATCTGTCCATCTAGTAGGGGGCCGTCCCACTTCGGCCTTCCGGTTCGTGGTCTCCATTTGCCAACCTTTCTGCCCCAACGGCCGTCAGTTCTACGGGCTATGTGCCCTGCTCACTGCTACTTCAACTTGCTAGTCCTTTGAGCTATGACGGTGACTTTCGGTCTTCTACTCATTTCTGATTCGATCACGTAGAGAAAAGTCGAGACACACTCATAGTTCCGCACTAGGGAAACCCCTGTGTCGTGGGTGCCTTGTACACACATATAGACAACCACAAATTACACCCAAACTCAAAGGATTAATAGATGTAGGCCGTACAAATATTTCTCCCGACCCGGAAATCGAACCTCTGTGGCATGCTAACCATTCTACCACAGAGGGAGTTATATTTCTATATCATATAGTAAAATACACTGTGCCAAAAACTGAATCTGAAGGACTAAAATGGAGAAGATACTTACACCAAGGGAGCTTTTGTAGGTGAAGAAATCGAAACACGACCCCACATAAGTCTACGCAAATCCTCGCCGGTAATACCTCTTCTTCTTAACTCGGCTATAGTTACTTTTCCGACACGCTGAAACGAAAAATAACAGCGCCTCAAGCCTAACTAATTTTAAATCACCTCAGTTGTCTGGCGATTAGTGATGAAACGGATAGTGATTTGGCCGGATACCGGATATCTGACCCACAGCCGTAAACATGTCGCGACCGGTTTACAGCGCGCATCACCGTGATTAATTGATTAGTGAATGATTGCCCTTTCACATTGACGATTTGATTTGTTGTAGTCACTTGGTTTTTATAAAAACGATTAATTTATTCGATAATACAAACAAATACATAACAGAAAAATGATAACAGTAAAAAAATCGCAAAGTTAGATTTATTTATGAAAATAAATAGCAACATCATTTACCACCAACAACTACAGGATCGTTCCTGTAGTTGCTGTGTATTATATTACTATCATCTTTATTTAATAAATCAATTTAATGGCGTACTGAATATGAATTTTTCTCAGTTTTAAACATCCGGTATCCGGCCAGATACCGGCTAGTTACCGGATATCCGTTTCATCTCTAGTGTCGATAGAGTGTCAATGGCAGGATTTTGTACGTTTGGTATTCTGCTAAATGTTAAGAGTAGTAGCTTGTCAGCGACTAGCCATCGAGCTATAAACTGCCATTGCTTTTTTTTGGTAGTCTGCTTTTCAATGGCGTGTCGATGTTGTAGTGTATTAATAATGTGTACATTTAATTCGAAGACTAAATTGCTGTTTAATTGTAATAAAAATTAAAATATGCATAATAATTTCCATTGCACTTTTAGTAAGGCAACATCGATCGTTAGTAATCGAATAAATGAATATGCCATCGCTGTCATTCCACTGAAACTCAACTGCCATTGCAACTGGATCTTAACAAAATAGCAAATATAATCATAATTGCAGTGTAATCTGAATGGAGTTTCAATGGAATTGCAATGACCAATGGTTTCAAGATTTTATTTTATTTTATAATAATATCAAGTGATGGGACGATAAAGTCGTGCGCCTGATAATAAACTACATGCCTATCCGTAACAGTTGCAGTGCCACTCAGAGCTTTAAATCGCAAAGATCTGAGGGGCACTGCCACTGCGCCCTTCACCCTGTGATATAAAGTTGACAAGTCCCATGTGCCTGTAATTTCACCAGCATCCTTACCCTTATAAACTAGAACACAGTAATGCTAATATTACTGCTTGGCGGCAGAAATAGGTAAGGTGGCAGTAAATACTTCCCTGGACGAACTCTTTCACAGGGAGCTCTACTGCTGTTAATAAAATAAATTAATAGAATTGGGCCCCAGAGATGGGCAAACTCCCGGGTTTTAACCCGATGTTTTTTTTAGTCCGTTTGTTGTTTTTTTTAATTTGTATTTTTATTAAATTTGATGATATTACTTTTTCTGACATTACGTTTTGTAATAAACAAAAAATATATAGAAAAATGTTTATTTTTAACCGACTTTAAAAAAGGAGGAGGTTCTCAATTCGACTGTATGTTCTTTTTTTTTGTATGTATGTTACGCGATAACTCCGGTATTTGTGAACCGATTTTCATGATTCTTTTTTGTTAGAAAGGGGGTACTTCCATAGTAGTCCCATTTCATTTTGAAGAAAATCATCCACCTCGAAGGGTGGCTGTTCACACATGAAGATTCATTTTTATAAATAGCGCCTAACTTTAATTTAGGAGCAATTACTTTAATGGTTGATTTTGCTATTTCTCCAATTCAAGGCGTTTTTCTCTCTATATACTTTAAGTAGTGAGAACCGATTTTTATTATCTCCAGTGTCAACTACGCGCGAAATAGGGGATATTTCAATAAAACTTAGCATATAAACGTATTTCCACGTACTTTTGAGGTCGGTTTTTTAGTACTATACTGAGATTATCTACCATCACAAACTATAAAATTGTTTTTTACATACAACATAAAATGCTTATTTTCTTATTCGAATTCATCTAAAAACACCAAGAATGTCATGTTGGCGCGGTGCCAGCACGTGCGGAAATTAGAAAGCGTGGAAAGGGGGCTGAGCCGTGGATCGGGACGGCGAAAATACGTATTAGAGACTCACTACATTTATTCTAAGAGCGAAAAAAACGTTGCGGGTTGCGCTTCCGCAAGGTTCGCCGACGCGAAACACCACAGACCACGTGCGAAACACACAACGTCATTATACTTAATAATAATAATTCGTTTATTTGCTTATAACATGGTATAAAAGAAGATGTTACAAGAGACAGTGCCAGTACAAACATGTTTCGCATATATTAAATAGTACGGTAAAAGAATATGTGGTGTGCGGCCGTGTGATAGAGTGAAGAATGCTGTGATCCATGGTCCATATGATGTGTGCATGTGAGTGATAGAGGATGTAGTGACAAAATAGAATGTTCGAGAGGATGAATGTATGTAGATTAACGAGAGAAATATATACAGCTAAAGTAGAAGGAATCATTGGAAGAGGACCTCTGATCAAATTGAGATTGTTCTTAAAAAGGCTGGAATGCGTAGTGAGAAGAATATGAAGCATGTATGAAAATATTGATGAATATAAGTGAAGCAAGAGAGGTTTGTAAGGATCGTGCTATGTGCGGAAGATAGTCTCTGCCTACCCCAATGGGAATCTAAGGGCGTGAGTATATAAATAAATATATATAGTATGCAAAAGTCTAGTTATATAATATAAAGTCAATTAGACTACCACAATAACAAAAATGTCACGAACATGTCAAGTTATAATGTAATATAAGAAGATAATGATAATCCATTATCATTATAATTGACATAAAGATTTTTCTGACCGGTTTAATGGAATTCCCTGTCGAATAATGTGGTGACTCTCTTAGTCTATTCATTCGGCTGACAATTTCATTGCCACGGAACCAATGACCAACAAATTCGACATAATAATACATATAAACATTTTTAATATTTACAATAAAGCCTGCTCTATTACTCTTGTGTTCAAGCAATTTTCAGTTAAAGCTAAATATGGTGCATTTTGTTAAGTTTCCAGCAGAAGCTGAATATGGTGTTTTTGGGCCCTTAAATTGTTGCTAGCAAAATTAGGCAGTACTGCAACGACGTTACAATTTAAATTAAATGTTTTAGTTTTTTTTTAAATTTCGTTACATGTCACTACGTTTTTATAGGTTAACTTCGGACATTTTTTCGTGGTTTTTGTATTAGACCTGAGGTTCATTTGCTAGTAGGTCAATGCACGGAACAGAATAAAAGCTATCACAATTCTGTGTAACGAACGTACAAACTAGATACGATACGGTAGCTGCGAGGATTCTCGAGACTGTGCAAAAATTCTCCAAAAGACGTGTGACCTGTTTTTTTGGGTCTAGTCCAGTTTGTATAGGTATTACATAACTGACATAGAGTTTATTATGCTATGATTACAAAAAGTCCGTAGTTATGTAAAGGGCAGAAATAGGTTAAAACCGTGGATTCGGTTTATTAAAACTTTACTCACCTTCCAATTAGTAAGAGCGCCCTTTCTCTGCCGCGCCCTTGTCTTGGCTTTGCTTTTGATAACCATTACAGCTCTTTGTTCGTACCGCGGGTCGTCAGAAGGACCCAGCCCTATGGAGTACTCCTGGAGGTACCTGTGAGCATCTTCTTGGGCCACTGATCTTTCTAGCGACACTACTATCTTGGCCCACTGGAAATTAAATCATAAAATCTACAGTGTAAGGTACCTTATAGGACACAAAGACTGTCAGGAGGACATCAAGCTCGATACTTTTGACCATCCTTATCACAAGTGGCGTAGAGTTGAATTTAAAGCGTCATATTCTTCATTCTGTACTAAATCATCATCATCAAACCATTTTAACGTCTCGCTACTGGGCATGGACCTCTTCTCAGGCGAGGGATTAGGTCACACGTTTCACACCTTTTCCGAGGATTGTGAACCTTCTCCGACGTGCACGTTTTATAACGATATTTTGGTTCATCGAAAAGTTCTTGGTAAATTATAAATTAAATAACGGACATAATTCCGAGAAACTCGCCCTTGTTCTTTACCGTGTCTACCTGTCCTAAACACTTTGTTCTAATTAAAACTACTTAGTAGAACTACTGGGAATTTTGCATACCTGCTTGACCCACTCTTTTTCTGATTGCTCTATGACATGGGCGTACGTATTGCCCATCATAGCAATTAACATATTGAGTAGTAGAATCGGCACGAAGACCATGAATAATGCGAAAACTGTCTTCGCCAGGTTTGCATACGAGGTGCTGCCTAAGTCGCTGTACTGAAAAAAATATGATTTACCTTTATAAGCACGTATATGTTTCCAGACGAAATTTTGAATATTTTCGTTTGTATTGCGTTTTTCTTAGATACCTACCAGAGACGGGACGCACAAGTAGTGCGCCTGATGGTAAGCGACGCGTCTGTCCACAGCAGTTGCAGTGCCACTCAGTTTTAAATCGCAAAGATCTGAAGGGCACTGCCACTGCGCCCGTCACCCTGAGACATGAGTTGTTAAGTCCCATGTACATATAATTTCACTAGCACCCTTACCCTTCAAAACCGTTATGCATGCTCATTTTGCTGCTTGGTGGCAGACGTAGCTAACGTGGTAGTTTCCTGTACGAACTCTGCTACTTATGTAAGGTACTTACACTGTAATCCCCTAAAGTAATTTGAAATAGAGCCATCCAAGTACTAGGATAACTAGAGAACAGCGTAGACTCCACATTTGGAAAACCTGTAAAAGTAAAAACACGATTGTCGTACCGACCAAAACAACCGTAATATAAAATTTAATAATTAAGAAGAAACACAATTTTACCTCGATATAGAAAGAAGAAAGACTGTGAGAATCCAAATAGTACAATGCAATAAATAATGCCGAATGTAAACATGTCACCCGTGATCATGCTGTAGATCATGGTCACGAAAGGTCCCGTCAGCTTCACGGCCCTGCGATAAATATCATTGCCGTTTAAAAAGCGATGATACCTAAGGTGGCCTTCAGATTAAACTCTTATAAAAGTGCTGCGCCACTGTGACGCTGTATACTCGCCACTACAATATTTCATACACTATTCAGAAGTGCAGTTGCAGCGCCACTATCATGACACGCGCACTCCACTTTTGCAGTCAAAATTAGTGAACTAAAAATTACTTATTTGTGACGGACGCATGGCTGCCGCGCCATTGCAGCGCTTCTACAAGCGCCTAATTTGAAAGCGCCCTAAATCACTTTAAAGCATTTTTACAACAAGTAGGGCTAGCACGACAGGACGTGACTTGCGCGAGAGCCTAGAGTAGGTCTCTGTGCGAGAATAGCAGTATCTGGCGCTTTATGTGCTAGCCCTAAAGAATGGAATTTCAGCGCATTGGTATCTGTGCCTACATGTTGACAATACTTCGAGTTTTACCTCATTTACAACATAAAAGTATGTTGCCCTGGTGTAGACGCAGGTTCGTGTCCTATCAGATCAAAGGAAATTTTCTTTGTCGATTTTTGTATTAATACTTATAACAAACTAGTGGAGTAATTAAAAAAAATATATAATATCAAGTTGCGGGACGAACAAGTCGTGCGCCTGATGGTAAGCTACACGCCTGTCCATAACCGTTCCAGTGCCACTCAGAGCTTTAAATCGCTGAGATCAGAGGGGTACTACCACTGCGTCTGTCACCCTGACACATAAGTTGACAAGCCCCTTGTGCCTGTAATTTCACCAGCACTGTTACACTTCAAAACCGGAACCCAGTAATGCTCACATTGCTGGTTGGTGGGTGAAATACCACCAGTAAATCTTTAAAAAATTAATAATGTGGTTGAATGTTCATAATTATCAATATTTTGAGTTCATATTTCCATGAGATGGTCAATGCTTGATCGAATTCTATAAATCCACCGTTCTCACCCAGCAAAAAACATAAGCAGAAACCACGATCCAGGTAGGAGGAAGAGTAGCATGGCTTCCTCGAGCAGCATTTGTCTGCTCAAACGAGCCGGTATGCAAGCCAGTAGCAAGAAATTTGACATTAGAAATATGAACTTGGCTGGTTCGTGAATCTGAAAAATATAAAAGTTAACTTATGATAACTGGTAGTAATAAAAGAGACAACACAATTGTTCAAACCATATAAACAACTCAAATTGCTTTCGATTAATTTATAAAGAGAAGTATTTGTGTCGAAGTAGTGCGCTATGTAAAGGAGTTACCGCATCTAACAACACGGAATCGCATTAAGCCGGTCAACAAAAGCTTAATGCATATTATGTAATGAGCGAAAAAATGTTGTGCATTTTTAAGTCTTTTTGCTCTTTTTTTATAATACCAAGTGACTGGGCGTACAAGTCGTGCGTCTAGTGGTAAGGGACACGACACTCGTCTATCCACAACAATTGCAGTACCATTTAGAGCTTTAAATAGCAAAGATCTTATGAACACTGCCACTGCGCCCGTCACTCTGAGACATAAGTTGACAAGTCCCATGTGTCTGTAATTTCACCAGCACCCTTACCCTTCAAAACCGGAACACAGTAATGTTGACATTACTGCTTGGCGGCAGAAATGAGTAAGGTCCCAGTACTTCCTTGGACGCACTCTTTCACAAGAAGCTCTACTGCTCTTATTGTATGGACAAACATTTTTCTAACCGGCTCAAGCCGAGCTCAGAGCAGTAAGCAGTTACGGTATGAGTAGTATTGTACCTGCCAATCTTTGTTTGGGGCAGGCACAGATAGGCACACATGTATGTTACAATGTAAATTGGTAATCTACAGTTGAATGTCGGTGAAATCTGTGTTTATTGTACCAATTTTAAGTGATTTTCTACTTAAGTTCAACTTATAATATATGTTGTAGTGAGTGAGTTTCTATAATTACAATCTGGATTCCAGAGTGTCTTTGATAGATAAGTTTAAAGAGATTAACATTCTTACACTAACGTCACAGTACATTTAAGAAAATGTTATTTATGTTAAGAAAAATATTATTTTGTTTTTTATGAAAATAGACATTCATAAAGTCTCAAAGTCATTTAAGGGGCAAAGTATACGCTTCTAAAATAAGATTCCGATTGATATTAAAAATTTGTCAGTTACGAGGTTTAAAACTATCGTGAAACAAAAACTTTATACTAAAGGTTTACTTCTGCGTACTTGTATGACAAAAATCAGTGGCAGTGACCCGTTTAGCTCTTTCAGGTATTCTCGATGTAAATGTTTAAATTAAATATTTTAATGATAAATATATTCTAATGTATATTTACAAATATCAACCCCTAGAGTTCTTGCTCGTTCTTCTGAAGGTTATCTGCCTTACGAATGAGCAATAGAGTTTAACCAATCAGTATGACGATTTCAAATGTAATTCGCTTACTATGAAATGAAGATTATTTGACTTTGACTTTGACTAATTGTCTTTTGTACTATTAACATACTAGATTCAAAAGTGCTTTTGAAGCTAAATAAATAAAATGGAATTAGTAGTACATACCTAAAATCAATCTCAACTTACCAATTGCTTAAAGTAAGCAATCAAACCTTGATTTTTAATTTCATCGCCTTGCTGCAAAATAATATAGCACAATGTGCTAATTATTGTCCCTAATTCACATCCTAGCCGTATGCCGCTGCTAACATCAGAAATCTCAAGACCCCAGTCTGCATTTTCGTCGGTTTCCGCGCGGTTGTGTCTTAGATATACAGAGACAGACAGCAGTAGCAGGTGGAGCATCAGTATCATGAGGCGTTTTAGAAATTTGTTCTGAAAATATTACACTCAGTTTTTTTAGCTAGTACTGTAGAAAGACCAATGAAATATTTATTTATGCACCAGGTGCACTGTCCCTGTCCACGGGCTGGTCTGGGGTCAGGACCTGAACTTATAAAGGTCCCTGTGCTTGCACAGGTTATAGTGCCCTTCCCGCATAACCAAGAAGTTCATAGGAAGGATCGCTATAATCAAAACTTTATGAAAAAGATATGACAAGTACAAGGGCAGTTATGTGAAAAGACTTAGACATATGTAATTATAATTATTATTTTTCTATATGCATAGAGAAAAGTATAATATAATATTATACACATACTACTTACTCTAGCAAAAGTCTTCCACTTTTCTTCCAACAGTCTTTGAATGATACCACCATCCAACATGTTCAAATGTTCTTGTTTTGTACCATTCAATATAATAAATAATGCTGAATTCCAGTCTGGTAATAGATAGTTTCGTTAGGAAAAGCGATTTACTTAAATAAATCAATACTTCTTAATTTGTAGCAATATCAGTTTGGTCAAAATAACAGTGATAAACTTACTGGTCCTCCCATCAGGTAACAAGGTATCGAGAGCATTTAACGGGTATGCAGAACAGGTGATATTCGAATATCTCCAGAACTCCCTGGCCGATAACTCTAACATCTCCCTGAAGACTGAATCTCGGCCAAGCTGACACGCAAGAGTAAGTGGTGTAAAGCCTGCTTTGTTCATCCTACCATTGCTGGCTGGAACCTTTGGATGGCGTAGTGCGTAACCGAACATGTCCTGGAAAAACGCATTTATATGTGTACGTGAACGTATAGTTTGAAATCGCCTAAACAAGTGACAAGAACTTGGGGTCAAAGACTTAGAGACGACAGTGCCATAGACTTCAAACGACTATATGCCCATATTTCTGCTGTAGTAAGTTTATCGCGTTTACAAAAATCAGGGGAAGACGTCAAGAACTCAGTCGGATTTCTAATATAGTAAAAGAAAGTGCCATTGCCAGATCAAATACAAACCAATGTTTGCTTATTACTTTGACAACTTTACTTACCAATTTATCACAAACGACAACCATATGCAATATCATATTTCCAAAGGAATCCTGTGCATCTGGATCAGCGTCACTATCTAAGAGTAAGTTATAAACCGCCTCATTGGCGCAACAGGCTGCCCAAGCCAGTGGATATTCACCAAGGTAAGCAAGACCTTCATAGGTCGTCTGCCTAGCGGGCGGAACTTGTTGTTGATCTCGGGGTAAAAAGAAACTTCCTGGAACAGTAATTTTGTTACTAATATTTACTTGCGCACCTAACCTTTTTTCTGACATACATAAGCAGCATTTTTACAGCATAATTTAACTCAATATCAACGCAAATGTTTGCTGTGTACCTACACGGCACAGATATTGCAACGAAAATATGATTTGAAAGTTTACCGATAGCTCTTTGATGAACATTAGCTCCAGCCTCTACCAAGTCTTGTGCTAGCTCATTATTGCTGTACGCAATCGCTAAATGCAAAGAACTGGCTCCTGAAAGATGTAATTAAGGGTTGACTTGTATATTAATTATTACATAGGGTATAATAATATATTGACATCCAATGATATTCGATAATATACAAGAATACTAATGGCGTGTTTACACGTCTTCGGCAGACAAACTTGATTTGCCGAACGAATTTGGTCGACCGTCACTTGCTAAAGGCTACCGAAACATCTGCCTTCATCGGGCCAGCAGTGGCGATTTGTCCATCTGGTGTAAAAGATCATAAATATTTCTACTTTCGCTTTACCTAAATATTCTTCACCTTCCACCACATCCAACGATAGCTTTGGAAAGCATTTGACCAAGGTTCTTGCTAGCCTTGTGTGAATCTGAATTTAGAAATTAATAAAATTAATGTGCCTGTTCTTAGGAAATCAGTCTCATGATTTTTTTATATCTGAGTAATATTGTTACTTACCTTTGTATCGCAAATTATGAGTACGTGAAGTAAGGATTCACCAAGTGCGCCACGATAACACATTTGCCAACATGCCGTGTGGTCTTCCCACTTAGCTAGAGGATCATGCGGAGAAAGTGACGCTTCTATTGGTAGAACTACCTATAAATAAATGTTAAATAAAAAACTGCATACCACACATATCATACTGATAGGTAATACTAAAAAAATAGTACTGTATTTTTTATACCAAGTAACAGGACGAACAAGTGGTACGCCTGGTTATAAGCGAGGCACCTATTCATAGCTGGTGCAGTGCCACACAGAGGTTTAAATCGCAAAGATCTGTGGGTCACCCAAAGACATAAATTGACATGTCTCATGTGCCTGTAATATCACCAGCACCCTTACCCGTCAAACCCTAAAATCAGTAATACTCACATTACTGCTTGGCGGCAGAAATATGTACGTAAAATAGCAGTACTTCCCTGGATGAACTATTTCAAATGGGCTCTACTATTACTAAAACTGTAGTTGTGGGAACGTAGCCGTGGTTGTAGCGTAGTGAGAGGTACTATTTAATAATAAGCGAGGAATATAATTTACTGTGAGCGTTCAGTTCGAAGATTTGTCCAGAACTCTCCCAATGTTCATTTCACAACAACCTTTCTAATTTTTATACAGTTTTAAATGTAAAATCTAACCAGCCAGCGCTACAGTACCTACTGCTTGCATACCTGAAACTTATCTAACTGTGTAAATATAAAACGATCTCTCAGTACCTGTTCTTGATCTCTATACTTCCATCTCAGGTACTCAGCACGATTAATAACTCTGCCACGGCCTCCCGCGTACATATACGCGGAGAATTCTTCTCGGATTAACCGTTCTGCTGCCGCCATACCACCTCTGGCATAGGTCTCTATTAGTAGACCGCCTATAAATAATATTTCAATTTAATTACGTACTGTTAAATTACTATGTCATTTAGTTTTATCCACTGCCTTATTTCTTAAATGATCTTAATAATTCGCACCCTTAGTATAATAAAGCCACACGTGATCATATATCAAAACTGCTTTCATCACATGAAAGTCATAAAAATAATACGAATCATGTAGATTATCCTATTTAAGTTCCATTTTAGCATAAAAAAGTTAAGGCCTAATTTCGTTCGTAGAATGTTTAAGTCTGTTCGTTACATCAAGGGTGGAAATATACATATAAGATTTTCACGACTTACCCACTAAATTAGCACTAAGTGGTATATTACATTTTTTTGCAATATCGATGCCTTACTTTCTCAAACCCGTATCTTTACAAAGAATATGAAGGAAATGGGATGTGAAATCAGCCTGCAAAATTTTGTAATACAATCCAATTTTTGCATTTGAGTAACTTTTTGCCTTAACATACAATTTTGAGAAAGTAAGGCGACGATATTATGTAAAATTAAAACGATATTATACCAGTTTGTACAAAAATTACCTTTTTTATAATCGGCAAGTTTGTAGAGCACGGTGTGAGCCTCGCTATCAGGTTGAGAGATGACCCTGTCGAGAACCGAACCTGCGCCCTGGACGCCATCCGATGAGCACAACTTGCATAGAGAACCTCCCATGTCACTGCATACATATAAAACCAGGCAAATGTTACCTACATTTTACCGTTGCAATGTTGAGTAATTTAAAAGTACAATTTTTTTCTCCCTGGCAACACGAGAACACCCGGGGGAGGGGGGGTTACGACCGCGTTACCGACCCTTCTCAAACCCCTTTTGAAGAACTACCTAATTGTACGTGGGAGAAAGCTCCTCAACCTACTGTACAACCGTACAGTACGAGATCGACTCAGTTCCAGAGTGTAAGGATGGACTCCCTGCCGGTGGCGAGCGGAGCGATGATAATATGTTGCTTTTGGCATCATGTCAAACGGTTCTGCAGGACATTGATTTTTGTACAAGCGATAGAACAGGCATAAGGAGGCAAAGTCTCTCCTCTAAGACAGTGGCTCAATATCGTCTGTAAGTACAGGATCGTCAACAATTCTCATAGCACGTCTTTGAACCGCGTCAAAGGGCCCAAGCTGGCAACCAGGAGCTCCCAAATATGGCAGCAGTATTCCATGTGGGGACGGACTTGTGACTTATAAAGTAGCAATCTCTGGTCCGAAGTGAAATACCGCTTGGCCCTGTTGAGCACACCAAGCTTTTTGGACGCCAATTTGACTTTGCCATCTAAGTTACTACGGAGCTGAACGTCATAAGAGATGTCGACACTAAGGATCGTGATGCTCTTCGAAATATTTAATGGCTTGTTCTGGAACTGAAGGCCTACAGCAAATGGAGTCTTTTTAGCGATCAACGCGCAAATTTGTGTCAGTTATTGGGTTATGGGTATCGCAAGTCAATATCAGGGCCTTTAACTTAAGAATGATCTGGCCGTTTTTCAATTTATAAATAAATATAAAGTAGTAGACACCATCATATACGTTGCTCTGATCTGAATCTGAAAGTAAGTAACCTAAGCACTTGTGTTATGGAAATCGGAAACAACGATGGTACACAACATGGAAGAAAAAAAAAACAATGGAAGTATGATGGAAGTACTTAAACCTCGATTACTATCAGAACCGATGTCGTCAAAGCTCACACATTCTTATTTGAAATACTACAAAATCTTGTTATCAATTGGTCGTAGATTCAAATTTAAAAAAAAGAACGAATTCTGGATTGCTAGTATAATTTAAACTACTGTATTTATTGTTATGTGGTACACAAACACTCAGATGCGAAACGATATTGAAAAGTTAGTTTCTACATTGATTGGGCCGGGGATCGAACCCGGGACCTCAGTAATGGCGACATCATGAAAACCGGTACGAAAGCTCTCTACCACTCTTCCAATTGAACATTAACTATAAACGTAGCAAATACAATTATTATTAAAATCAATAACACATAATTTCGTTCATTTTCACTCAATATATGTATGTTTATACCCATTGTTGGGATGGCATGGAAAGGTACTTTTCGGTATTCCTACATACAAGCGCACACTGACGGCAATTTATGCTGTGGTATCCTTAGGCATGCCGAAGCTTACCGTCGCGACTTCTGTGCTCTCAGCCCATCGAGTATATAACCAGAAATAGAGACGAAATAAGGGCCATACATTCTTGGTAACTCATCAGTGATACATTACTTATAAGTATCAACTCTCGTTTGCACTGAAATATAGACAGCGCCAACAACTGACCTGTGTATACGTCTCCGTATATTCCAAAAATATTCTGTATTTATTGCAATAAAGATAATATCTCTAACAATGGCGTGCTGTTCCATTGTGTATGTGTTGTAGGGAAAAACAGGAAAACATCTACCTAATTGCCTCCGTGGCCGAACGGTTACCTTGCCGGACTGCCACGCAGAGGTCCCAGGTTCGATTCCCGGGCCGGGAGAAATAGCTGTATGGCCTACAATTATTTCTCTCGTGAGTTTGGGTGTAATTTGTGGTTGTCTATGTGTGTGTCCATGGCACCCGCGACACAGGGTTTCCCTAGTGCGGGGCTATGTTGAGTGTGTGCGTTATAGTGTGTGCGTTAATTACAAAACAAACGGAATCAAATATATATATATATGTAATTTTGTAATTTTCGTCCATTATAGCAATGCTCAAGTTAACTGGTCGATTTGAAGTGAAACAATTGACGACACCCATTGACTTACAAATAAATGGACGACGGGTCTAATACAAAAACCACGAAAAAAATGTCCCAAGTCAACCTATTCGAAATTTAAATTGTAATGTCATCGCAGTATCGCGCTGTCAGACGAACAAATGAAGACTAAAGCGGAGTGTCGCGCTCTGTATACGATTTTAGCGCCTTACAAGTGCGGACACTTTTTAGCGCGGACCCGACGTCCATATAATTGTAAGTCAATGACGACACCTATCAGTTATTTCGAATTCGGGCTGGCCAATCGGAGCGCAGTTGTCACAGTAATGATATGGCAGAATAGTTTTCAAACAAATTAATTGACATTTTGTCTCTATTTTTGGTTATATACTCGATGTCTCAACCTCTTCTTAGATATATTATATTCTTAGATTATAACGTTGCAAGCTAGCTTATTACCAATAGCATATTTAAAAATGTTTTTACAGAACTACAGTTCAAGAAGATTTTGGGTGAACAACGTTTAGAAGCCAAACGAAACGCGTAACATATTTTTCATTATTATCCCATAGCCATAACGTTTTTTGTAATCGGCTCAATCCGATTCCGCGTTGATAAGTGTGATGACTCCCTATAGGCGGTTTTCCATGACCCGTGGCTGTTTCCGAGTACGCCCGTGGCGCCCTGTTCGGATACGCCAACTTAAAAGGCGCGGTGCGAGGGAAAGGCTCTTACTACAAATTATTATAAATCCGAAAACGTGCCGCCACGCGCTTCGGCCCGACAGACGCCGCCCGGACGCGCTCGTTTCGCGAGCTCGCCCAATCTGCCGTCCACTAACCAAAACGCGGCCAGAGAACAAAAAGGCAACAAGTGGCTAAGTGACAAAAGGTCAAATAACCATTTCATATAGCAAAAAAACAGTAAAATTAGTTAAGGTGTTCGACTTATCGGAACTTACCCTAACGACGCATAGCTGAAATATCATTAAACAATTTCAATATTTTGAAAACGGGATCATGGTCTTTATATCTCAAAAAATTATTTTACCACTTAACCGCATTTTAGTTAGCGGTCGGCAGCAAAAACGGCTTGCCCATATAAATCGGCCCGTTTGGGGACAGCCGTGGAAACGCACCTATGATCGCATCTAGTACGCTAGCGGGTACTTAAATATCGTTGGGACAGATTAACTAATAATTATTATCGGATGACACAACGAATGTCCGCCATTTTTAACGTAACCTTCAAAGCTACTTCGGCCGAACACCAAAGTAATTGAATTATTATTTTAATTAATGAATACTTTATAGTATCTTTTGTAAAGTATTTACGTCTACTTTAAACTTACTTACCTACATAAATTAGTGTCCTCTTGTTATTCTGGCCTGTATTAATTCACTTCTATCTGTTAATTCAGTTTTGACATAGGCAATGTAAGTAGGTCAAGCAATTTTGCCAAGTTCACCAAATCAAAATCATTTTAGTTAGCGGTCGGCAGCAAAAACGGCTCGCCCATATAAATCGGCCCGTTTGATTCACGGGGGCAGCCGTGGAAACGCACCTATGATCCCGCGTTTAAATATCATCGAGCGTTTTATTCATCCATGTATACATGTAGATTATTTCTGCTATAACTTTGCCTAAGTTTAAGCCAGAAATTAAATGAAACTTTGTCTTTACTTCGTAATTTCTTGCTTAAACTAACCGTAGTTTAACCGCAGTTACTTTTGTAAGTTGTTTTATAAATCGCAGCTTTACTACCGTTGTTCTTATTATCAATTAAAATCTTAAATTTCAAGCTTGACTTCTTCCCAAATTTTTTTCACTTGTGTTAAAAAAAAATAAAATTATGCTTCAATCGCGTTTGCATTCCCGCACTTCAGCAGCTTGATTTTGATTGCCTCACCCAATCGGAAACTGCGTCTCTTCCAAGTCGAGGCGCACAATTGCGATTCACAACTGGCCGATAGGAAACTTTTGACATTTCTAATGGGACCAATAGTTGCTTTAACTCACAAATTAGAAAGATATAGTAGGAAACAGGTTCATCTTCACGCTCAGAAACCCATCTGATTTCGAGACTAGCCTATCGGATCGATCCCGATTTGAATCAAAATCAGAACGCTGAGCTCTATAATTACAAATTAATATCAATGTACGCTTAGAATAATAACGCATAGAAACCTAGTCCGCACACGCTAAGTGCGGCAAATTGAAGCGCGCCAAAAGGGCCTACACGAGCGGGCGGGCCTTCAGTGCTCAAGGGCAACTTGCACCGCGAACAGATCAAGAACTTTAGCTAAAAGTGACGAAATGTGCGGTAAATGAGTGTAAAAATACGTCAAACATAAAATAGATACTAACATCACATTCCAGAAGGAAGTAACGCGTTTCAACTTGTATTTTTATATAAATATTCACCAAAACCTAAAATTAACCTACTACTAAAACTAGCCTACATGAATTTGATTTTTGCCTCACTTGTGACAGTTCGTTTGATATGAAACTATCATTCTATGCGTTATTATTCTAAGATTGTACGTATAAATAAATATAAATTATACTAGGCTGAGCAACTAAAACAAATTAAGTAAAAGAAAAACGAATGAAATAAAAAAAAATACAATCGAGCTCTTCAGCTCATTGCTGCTTCAGCAGCGATTGTATTTTAGTTTCTTCAAACTATTGATGGGAAGTGTACTTTTTTCCTTTGTTGTTTTTTGAGTTTCTTGCAAAAAGGCAATTATCTTTAGACCACGCAGCCTAGTCTTTTTTATATTTTTAAAATTTATATAATAATAGTACGTACACAACCATAGTAGGTAACTATTTTATTCATATTATCCCTACTCTCCCAGATTACAAAACAATGGATTGTTTGTAATCTGGGTCTATTCTGCTACTGTCAGAACACTTTGTTGCTTAATAAATGATATTGAAGTATTGTGTCTTCACCGCACATCAGTGTAACAGCGTGTGTATGAAACGCCGCATATAGTACGCTAGCAGGTACTTAAATGTCGTTGGGGCAGATTAACTAATAATTATTATCGGATGACACAACGAATGTCCGCCATTTTTAACGTAACCTTCAAAGCTTCTTCGGCCGAACACCAAAGTAATTGAATTATTATTTTAATTAATGAATACTTTATAGTATCTTTTGTGAAGTATTTATGTCTACTTTAAACTTACTTACCTACATAAATTAGTGTCCTCTTGTTATTCTGGCCTGTATTAATTCACTTCTATCTGTTAATTCAGTTTTGACATAGGCAATGTAAGTAGGTCAAGCAATTTTGCCAAGTCCACCAAATCAAAAAGGTGTTTAATTTCTTTAAAAACTTAGTGAATTATTATTAGATACGTTTTTAGAATATCTCTAATACTTATTAATTAATAAAAAGAAGTACCTACACTTATTCTCACCAAGTAAAAATACCTAAAAATTAAAATTTAGTAAAATTAACAAATTCAACTGATATTGAAAGTATTTTTTTACTATTTTGACGTTAATTAAAGTTTTCTTAACACTGTTTTAAATGGAAACAAAAGAATGATTTCTACGCGTGACTTTCAAGCCAAATAAACAATGTTCGATTGCCATGGAAACCGTTTTATTTCTAGGTGTGATGTCATGAAAGTGGCACACGACCTCAATGTTGAAGATAAATTGTCACCTAATTCGTAATAATGAAGATACGGTATGCAGTAGACTTTTTGTTACAATAAATAAAATAACTTTTTAAATGATTAACACCTTTATTTTTATACTTTCATTTTTTGCGTTTCATTATAACATACCACGAAGTAAATAATAAGTTTTAAGAAACAATTCAAAATGTTAGTGTAGATTTCTTCCAACTTAGCTTTGAAAAATGTATAAAAAAATACCGCACACACTGAACATAGCCCCGCACTAGTGAAACCCGGTGTCGCGGGTGCCATGGACACACACAGACAACCACAAATTACACCCAACTCACGAGACAAATAAATGACTGATGAATGAAATTTTACAGGAGAGGGAATTGTTATTACTTTGTCATGACAATGACCACGACTTTCATTATGTAAGTCCGTAGACACGGATTGATAACAATAGTCTCCCGTAAATAACGCTAGTTTGGTTGCCACGACATTTACGCGTACTTGGTTTGGCCTCTAAATTTCAATCATAAATCCAATGCTAATTACGCGTAATTGCACTATCCCAACGATATGTTTGTAATGTTGATACACTGATATAACACAAATCTATAGTAAAATGAATGCATAAAATAAAACTAGAAATAAATACATGAAATGTAAATAAATATTTCGTAAGCTCCAACAATATTATTTCGTAAGCTCTAACATGAAGACTTTTTTTATTTATGTAATCGTTCAGCAATAGCAATGAATTTCAAATTGCCCGCCACATCAATCTCAGGCGCCCCCCGCCATTTCAAATTGGACCACCGAAGTGAGTGACCTTCAACTCGGGCCGCGCGACAGCGACGACGACGAGGCGCGGCGCGCGGATGGCGCGGAGAGAAGAGGGGCGCAGCAGGTTGGAAACTAGTTTTGCACCGTGGGATTGTTTGCGAAGAGTACATTATTTCAAACTAAGCAGTTTGTTAGATAAGTATGTATTTGAAGTACATTTCTTAAAATAATACTATTCTTGTATACATATTTCATTCACAATAAGTTTATGTGAGATAATCATATCACTTGCTTATTTTGGCATTTCTCGATGTGTATTGACAGATGTCACCAAATCTCATGTCAATATCGTCGTACAGAAACAAAACCAAAAATGTATTTATTGCGTAATGAAATGCAGAAAAATTACTTAATAAATAAACCGAAGTTTTATAAAATACTTAACTGGCACAGAAGTCTCAAGTATCATCGTCAAGTTGTCCAAGTACGCAATGAACTTATACTTCCACAATTAAATGATTTAGATACCTATATCTAAATGAGATTTGTATTGAAAGAAAATTGCCGTCCACAGTAGGAGCTAGATGAGAAGGTCCCGGGTTCGATTTTCGGAAGGGCTAATTTTAAATTACTTTCTAAATTGGTTGTGGTGGACTAGGTTATTATCTAGGAGTTAATTTCGTTAATAATATTTTTATTTATTTAATAAACAATAACAATAAGCAAAAAATTATTTAACAAATTAATTTAAAAAACTGTATTTTATTTTTATTATATTTTAATATTATAGGTATAATATACGATAATATAACATAATTTATTAGAATTATAATATAACTTGAAAGGCACATCGGGCCGAGGTGTCCATGTTCTTCAACGTTTCAGATCTTTTTCTTGTTAAAAAAAATGCATTTTTTTACAATATCAAGTGACGGGACGAACAGGTCGTGCGCCTGATAGTAAGATACACACCTGTCCATAACCGTTGCAGTGCCACTCAGATCTGAGGGACACTGTCACTGCGCTCGTCACCCTGAGACATAAGGTGACAAGTCCCATGTCTCTAATTTCACCAGCACCTTTACCCTTCAAAACCGGAAAACAGTAATGCTGATACTGCTTGGCGGCAGAAATAGGTAAGGTGGCAGTATTTCCCAGGACGAACTCTTTCTCAAGGAACTCTGCTGCCACTACGCATTTGTTATCTATTAATTTTAGTCCGTAATCATCAGCTTGCCAAATCGCTTGGTCATATCTACCACAGCTTGACGGTTGGCACCACACAATCTTGCATCATCTTTTTTCCGGCACGCTACGTTATATTATGAGCCAAATATTTCAAATTTCGATTCGTCAGTTCAAAGAACTTTCAGTCAGAAACCGGTTCAAGAGCCGGCTGACGACTAATACGTGTCGTGTCGAGCAGTATAGCTTCCTGCATTGGTGCGGAAGAAACACGCCACATAAATCCAACTGCCAAATTTTATTAACTCCTTCGCTTCCTCCACTCGCATTCATCTTTATTTTCGTTTAATTAACATGACGAAAAAAAAACCTACAATGAACAAACAAACATGCAAGAATCTCATACGCATAGACGGAAAATGTCTTCGTGTGACGTACAAAACAAAAACCCTGGTTTGTGATTGGTGAACACAGCAAGGGACGTGTTGCGGGGAAGAGGCGCCCCCCGCGTTTCTCGTCCCGCGCGATCTGCTGCCCCTCTCCCGTACCGCCACATTCCCCTCTACGTATTTCAACAGTTCGCTGCTTTACGAACGGTGTTTGTATACTATTTATGTTTTAACATATAAATTTGTGTCTATTTTTCAAATTTATTATTTAATTAGTGACAATAGTTCAGCGGCCATTATTTTTATCGTCATTTTCGAAAGGTGTGACGTTCCAATGTCTAGGAATGTGAAGTTAGTGAGGTTGTGAATTGCAGTTTATTTTATTTGGAACTAGTTCACAACAAAAGGGTAAGATTCAATCAATTCCAACAATAATTTTGTTAATTATACACTACTTGGTACTTGGTGCACTAATTTTACTTTATAATTCTAAAGTTCGATTAAAGTTGTGTAATATTATATTCAAAATTGTTGTTCATTACGAATCATGGTACTACTATGAGTTTTCGAACGCGATGGGTTTTTAACTATTCGTAGTCAATTAGTTGATATAACATGATGAAGATCTTAAGCTATCATGTCTTAATAACAAAATTAGAGCTAATTTGGTGAGACCAGAGAAAAATTTAATGTCTCATACTCATAATTAGAACAAATTTTACCTGTTGCATCTTTCGCAACGTGTGATTAAAATCACTTGCTGCAAATATAATATGCAATTCAATTTCACTGAAATACATTAACAGTTTAGTAAACAAATTAGTACAACTTTAATAGTATGTACGCATTGCGTTCGAGTAGCACCGGAACGTGGTGATTAAATACTAACAATGGTAACCTACAACAAACAGCTCTGAGAAATGAAGTTCGTGCTGTCTGCACTATGTCATGCTGATACCAAACGTCAAAGTACTCCATTCCATTCCATTGAAAATAAAACCTATCTCCGTGTCGACAGTGTTTAAATTTGCAATTTATGAATTTGACAACTTGTATCAATAGAATTGTTTGATTTTTTTTTACAATAAAGATAAGAGAAAAGACATGAGAGTTACCTAATCGCAATCTTGTAGACATCCGTCACATAAGTTTTAAAAACTAATATTATTAGTACGCATATCTTTCTCTTGTAAATAACACTATGCTACCCTTTCTTGACAGTTATCGAAGAACAGTTACTTCCAGTATCTGCTTCATACCCTATTAAAAATTAAAGAAAAACAAGATTTTTATTGCAGTGTGCAAAATATTTTTAAATGTTGTATTGTTTTAGTTATCTACTTACTTATTAGTAAGAATATCGCTTGTTTCTTATAAGATGTTTTAATTTTATTTTTGTCTACATTGCTTTGAGAATATAGCAAGGTGTTATTTTTTGAGACTTGTGGTCAGAGATGGGAACAGGCCAAGTATGATTACGTAATCATAAAGGAAATACTTCTAAGGTCAGCAGACTAAAGCGCATAAGTAAAAATCAACATTTTTAATAATTTAAGTCAATAAATACATCAAAATTACAAAATTTATACTTTAGACATTTGTTTCAACATAAAAACCTGTGGCGTCTTTTTCGATCTTATCATTCTCTTTATATTTTCCGACACATTGACATAGGACAATGCTCCAACTCTTTACACAACACCTAACAAGTTACACATATGAAACCAAATGCTGTTGTAATCATAACTTAAAAAAGGTGTGATTGAGAAAACATGATTAAAAGTTTATATTAATAATTTATATATAATATATTATAAATTAATATTATTATTATAGTAGGTATATTATAAACCATTAAATCTTCTTTATAAATGGATGATTAAATATAAATAAAAATAATCTCATCATTCAGTAGTAGTAGAGCTCCTTGTGAAAGAGTTCGTCCAGGGAAGTACTGCCGTCTTATCTATTTCTACCGCCAAGCAGTAATGTCAGCATTACTGTGTTCCGGTTTGGAGGGGTAAGGGTGCTGATGAAATTACAGGCACATGGGACTTGTCAACTTGGGTTTCAGGGTGACGAGCGCAGTGGCGGTGCCCCTCCGATCTTTGCGATTTAAAGCTCTCAGTGGCACTGCAACTATTATGGACAAGCGTGTGGGTAGCCATCGGGCGCATGACTCGTTCATCCCGTCACTTGATATTATACATAAAAAAAAGTTCGCAATAAGATCCATTGAGTATTTTTTTTAATTTTGAAATCGTTTTTTCTCAATTCCACCATTTTTAAGTTACGATAGTATATGGTTTCATGTGCGAGAGGTACCTATGCGTTTAAACGTAAAGCTCTTAAAAAACTTACACAGCACGCTCAGTTCAATATTCAATTATTTGTCTTTTTAAACATACTCAAGCATATATATAAACATAATCATCAAGCATATATAAACATAATCATTTCAAATTTGTAAAAGCAGCAGGTAAAATCTTAGCTGTCATCTTTTTTAATTATTGATCTTCCTTCTCTGAGCCATAAAATAAATTAAATCGATGGATATTTTAATCTGTACTGAGCTACGCAAAAATTGTTTGATTTTTATAAATTAAATTTGATAGTTTTATATTGGGCCTCAAAACTAACACAAATGAGTACTTATTAAAAAATAAAATTTAGATACTTATTTTTAAAACTACGTTGCTGATTATATTTGTATAATAATATTAAATTAATTATAATATAATTTGACTTGAAAACATGTTCGGAAACGCAAGCAAATTGACTTTTGGCACTCGCCGGCCACTGCCGCGTCGCGCTAGTTTCGCTCGCACGGCTCGTGTTGCTTTTTCATATACTAAATCTGATCCAACCTACTGAATGGAGGCCATGACCAAGCAACCAAGATGTATTAGGAGATCAGCATCAAAATATATACTGTTTATAAATGTCATCAATCGTTAAAAGAAAAGACCAATGATTAAAAAGAGGACCAAAATATTATTTTTGAATACCAAATTTTAATTTTGTATGGTAATAGTGTTACCTTGAATGCAGTTAATTTATAACTTATCCGTAGATCAATGTAGATGGAACAATTAATATAAAGTATATCAAACATAAAAAAATATCATTTATTTAAAAAAGTGCACATTTACAATAAATCAATTTGTTTGAGGATCGAATATTATTGTCCTTTTATTTAATATCTTAGTGTGTGGTGTGACCTCTTTACATCGTCATCCCACCCTTTTATCGCCTTTCTCCGGTTCCTGGCTACTCGTATTTAAATTTTGAATTGTTCCATAGCTCTTTTACCTCACATTCTGATTTTGTTTCGTTCTACCATCATTCCTTGCCCGATCGCTTCACTACGCAACTTTACTACGCCCCGGTAATAAATGAAAGTTAAAAAGAAGGTAATTTCTCATTCATCGGAGTAGGTTCCACGTTTCCCCAATTTCAAGAAATGAAGAAAAAATTAAGCACCCGTGAAGGATAAACTTAAATAACTTTCACGTCGAATACATGCCGTTATTTTTCAATTTATTATAAACTCTATATATAATATGTTCTCTTGGGAATACAAAATGTGTTCAAATTGTTCTTATAATTACTGTAATTTCAACTAAAAACTGCCTAATAACGAAAGTTCATACCACATCATCTTCACCCTTCGCACACGTGAGAAGGGGCTCCTGCCGGAATGGAGTATACGCAGTGAAGTAACCTGCGCATCTCCGTTTTAGCGAAAGATCGACGTAAACACCAATTTCTGTGCTTGTGACTAAATCGTTCTCACTCATGTAAGCAATCTAACTAAATGAGTATTATGTTATAGTCTTATAAACTTTATTCTTTTTTATTTAATTTTTTTATTATTTTAAAATGAAATTATTATTAATTAAATTATTCGAATTTAAGTTTAAGTGTATTGTAAGTGTAACTTTGCTACGCCCCTACACGGTATCACAAGTGGTGGTGGTGGTGGCGATGGTGATGGTGATGATGGTGGTGATGATGATGATGATGACGATGATGGTGATAATGATATATTGATGTACAATAAAGTTTATGTGATATTAACAAATTACTTATTTAGATATATGGCCTTACACGAATGAGAAGGATTTTGTTACAAGAAGTGAATTTAAAATATTTGTTACAAGTTAAATGTTGCTAAATGTCCTTTTGTGAACGATGAAATGTGTGTTAAAATAATAATTTCTCACTACTGTGTCTTTCTCATTTCGGTTTATGCGAAAATCATTCCTGTTCCGCAATCTCATTCGTGTGACCTAAAATATAGTTTTTTGTTGTATTTCACTTAAATATTTCTGTGATTAATTAAATATATTATTTTTACGAAGACCTTGAAAACCAAAAGAAAAACGGGTTGTACAAAAATCACTCAAAATGTGCCATTAAAATTTGAAAAGTTAAATTCACCTATGTTTCCTAAATAAATTATTTCGTCACAGTGCATAATCTTTTTTAACATCAAGGCTACGGGCTTAAATGTTTTTCTAAACGATTTTGTAAGCTTTAAACTAAACGGCGTTTAAGCAAAAAATCCTTTTATACGCATACTTATTCAAAAATGTACAACATATATGGCACGCTCTTGGTCGAATATATTATATTATTCATTGAAACACTATAATATATTATTATACGCTGCCTATTCCCATCTGTGCTTACTATGCATAAATCATTTTTTGTTAATAGTGTCCCTATAAATATTTTTAGGACAAAGTTTTACACAACATGATGACGAGTTGGGACCGATGCAGGACAGCTAAAGACTGTATAAATAACGAAAGTACGAGTAAGTAAAAAAAAAGTAAATAATTATGTAAAAGTACTTATCCCTAGTAGATTTGAACCACTACTGTCTACTGTTGTCAAAAAATGTTCGTGATCAATTCATGTACAGTGGAACACATTTAAAGATCAAAATTCTTGCATATATACACTTCTTCCTATTGAGGTAGTAAGATACTATCGCCTACCACTTTCCACGATCCTGTCACACATTTTTCGCCTTATCGACACCTATTAAAGCTATCATACATGCTCGTTGGTAAAAGTTGATATTCTTTGTTGAAAATAATAAATCCACATCCCGTCACTTGAATAGTGCGGGTTGTGGGATCTTTATACTCCTTTGAATAGTGAACCTTTTCCAATCAGGTTTCGTTGTGGTGTTTTCCTTCACTGTTTTAAAATGGTAATTTATCTTTTGTTAAATTATCATTGCAAACGTTTCGAAAAACCTCAGTTTGTCAGGTCTTCATTTGAATCCAGGATCTTTTACGTGGGTGGCAAACGTTCATCCAACTAGGCGATCATAAATCTCTTTAAACACTCTGCAAATAAAGAAAAACTGCCTCCGTGGCCGAACGGTTACCGTGATGGACTACTACGCAGAGGTCCCTGGTTCAATTTCCGGACCGGGAGAAATATTTGTGTGGCCTTAATTTATTTCTCTCGTGAGTTGTGTGTAATTTGTAGTTGTCGATGTGTGTATCCATGGTACCCGCGATGGAGGATTTCTCTAGTGCGGTTCTATGAAAGACGCTCGGAAAATCCTGAGGGAGTCACTACACTTACATTTATTAACGCAGAAAAAGCTTAATGTCCATGTAATAAAAGCGAAAATAACATGCATTTCGCGTCGGCGGTTCGAGCGGAAGTAAGGGTGTATTTCCACCGGCGTGGCGAGACGATTTGTAAAACTTGTATGGCAAAATATCCGTTGTCTCCTAGCGCATCTTCGGTGGAAATGGTCGGGTTTGACGAAGATGGGCATGACGAGATTTGAAATATTTGTTGATGTAACATAGAATCGTATTTCTGCCTACATAGACTCTTTATTAACTCGTACGATATCGCGCGTGCTCGCGATGGCTATTAATATCAATCGCGAGATTGTGGGATACAGTTGCGTGCATTGAAATGTAAACGTTCACACATTTTCGAAATTATGTAAATATTAGATATTTCAAAAATGTACCTTCTGCTGTTTTCAAAAATATGTAATCACGAGACTATTTTAAAAAGGGTATACTTTGATTTCAGAGAAAAATAAACAAACTACAGTCAATGAAAAATATATAGTCCTGGTGTCATACATATATCCATATCATTTTCGTAAATGTTTATACAATGCATATTATATATTTATAATTTCATTAAAATGTACCCGTTAACCAGTGTTAAGATTGTGATTTTATCATAATTATGTAACCACTTTTAAAACATTGCATCGTTTTCAATTTATGTTATATTATTAAATTACACAATATAGTTGCAATGTAACATAAACATACCAGCGCCAGCTGTAAATTTTTTTATGTGTATTTTGCTACTTCGTAATATTTGCCCAGGATAAAAGATTATATAAAAATTTATTAATACATAATAAATAGTTATTTTCGAAATAGTTATTTTTCTTTTTATTTATTATTTATTTTATCATAGAGGGTACAAACAGCTTATATCACAACATGATTATTTCTTCTTACAGTATCTTCTTCCGTTATCATATTTAATAATAAATATTTGCGGGATATGGTACTTCAGCCGCGTGTATCGCTAGACGAATTGAACAGCACTGTGTCTTCACTATCCATAACCCTAGCGCGAGCTCGCGCGACCTCGCGATGGAAATTTTTGATGGAAATAGGTCGGCGAGATTTCAATTCTAGCCTCGCTTTGTCTCGTCTCGCCTCACTGGTGGAAAAGCACTTTAAAACGCGCGACGTCATCACACTTATTACACAGACGAACATTTTTCTGACCAGCTTTATGCGATTCCGTGTGGATAAGTGGAATGTCACCCTTATCGACAGTACGACGGAGATGGTGCGTGTAACATAACTTGAAAACTTATGAAATTATTTAGTATTTGTATTAGTGTAGACTCATTGTGTAGATTTTTTTTATAACATCAAGTGACGGGACGAACAAGCCGTGCGCCTGATGGTAAGCAACACGCCTGTCCATAACAGTTACAGTGCCACTCAGAGCTTTAAATTGCAAAGTTCTGAGGAGCACTGCCACTGCGCCCATCACCCCGAGACATAAGTTGACAAGTCCCATGTGCCTGTAATTTGACCAGCACCCTTACCCTTCAAAACCGGAACACGGTAATGCTGACATTATTGCTTGGCGGCAAAAAATGGTAAGGTGGCAGTACTACCCTGGACGAACTCTTTTACAAGGAGCTTTACTGCTACTCAAAAAAAGATGTCTTTTTAAGATTGATCTTATATAAGACGACGGCGGCGGCAGTTTGTTTTTACGAATATCAAGTAACGAGACAAACAAGTCGTGCGCCTGGTGGTAAGCAACACGCTTACTTATAACAGTCGCAGTATCACTCAGAGCTCTAACAAAGAGAGACTTTGCCACTGCACCCATCAACCATCACAAATGTTGACAAGTTACATATGCCTATAGTTTTACCAGTAGCTTTACCCTTCAAAAATGTTCATATTATTGCTTGACGGCAGGAATAGGTATGGAAACTAATTTTTCTAAATTCCAAATTCTGGAATGAATGAATCATGAATCAGAATGTATAAATTTAAAAAATCGGTTAATTTTGTACAATCTTATTGTTTGTTGCAGTACCCCTGGAAAGGCTCGATGAGAAAGTAAATAGCACACAAGAAGATGACAATTCCAACACATCCTTCAATTTTGTTTTTAAAATGGAAACAAATTCGCCTTCAGGCGAAGTTAAAACAGAAACAAATACTCAAAGACCTATTATCTACACTACTCGACTCGAAGACATGACCATATTTCTTCAAGATTGTGTCGAACTTAGTCTTAAAGAAATCAATGAACGTATTGAACGAGAAAGCACACCTTTATTTAAAAACCTTAACAATCAAACCACTGATGTAGAACTCCAAGGGCTTTTTTACAGAAATATGTTAGAAAAATTAAAAAATTATAAACTTAATGTTAACAGTTATGTGGACAACTTCAATAGAGCAGACGAATATAGAGTTACGGTACCGGGCGCTAAACCACTGAGTGAAGAAAAAAATAAAGGAAAAATTGATACATCAACAAGAGAAATGAACACTGCTACATCAGCGACACATATTAGAAAATCCAATTCAAAAAATTATGCTGAAAACCTAAACAAAACCAATAACAATGTCAAAGTGGAATATGTAACACTAATCTCAAGTGATGATGACGACACTGATTCGATTAACTTAGATAAAATAAGAATAAGTAATAAAAACAGATCCCTATTAAACCTTTGCAAACCAGTGAGCATTGTGTTGCAAGATATCGGAAAAACGTTGACAGTTCACCAAACTAAAAAATGCAATAACCCGGAACGCATAACTGAACAATTTATTGTTCCCGATAGGGAACATTTAAAGATTGATAAGCAACTAGTTCAAAAAAGATTAATTCCCATTGCTCCAAATCTAAAATCTGCTATCCTGTTAAATGCAACGAACACTGTTTGTGCGTTATCACCATCACACCTACAACCCATTGCATTTCCAACATGTATTAATACAGATACAACACCTCTGTTATCATTTAAACGCTACCGCCATCAGCAAACCAAAACGCTTTTATTACCACCTGTAGGAGCCACATGGAACCCTGTTGGTGTTTATATAGTATTTCGTGACCTTTGCACCAAGGATATTGAAGCACATTTCCTTGATGGCATCGGTCATCCCAAAGAATTTTACAAACTCGATTTCAAATCTACGAAGGAAATAGAAAAATTCATAGCATCCCAAAAGTTTATGACATTAGCTTGTTGCTGTTGGTATAGAAGAGAAGCATACATCCAATGTATGTCGCCTCGATTCGTCCCGGTACAAACTGCGCAATTGTTCAAAAAACCACACAAGTGTCCGATTTATAAATGTACGTGTTGCTGCAAAGGTCTTTTGCGTGTGGTAAGTGAATTGAATGAAGCATCAACTTCTAAGTTGAGTGTAACAGAACCACAAGTGGGCAGTTTGCATTCAGATATTAAAGAGGACGTTAGAAAGTATACTAAAGAAAAACGTGATTATATTCAAGAACTATTATCTAATTGCAACAGTACAAACTCTTTGATTGACAGAGCTTTAAGATTTGATAGAAATAAGCAATTAAATAAAGTTGTTCAAAAGCCCGTGGCAGCCGAAACATTTCAATCGAGATCTTCTGAAATTGGAAGTGGTTTAAGCATCAAAAATAATTGTCCAAAATCTACAAAAGTTAATGTCAAATATACAATCAATGGAAGTAATGAAATTTACATGCAAGATTCCATTGAAAAAGTAACATTACACACAATAGGTGTTCCAGAACACAGCTTACTGAAAAATGATAAAGGAATTGAAAATATTTGTTGTTGGTACAAACTTCAATCATTGTGCGAAAAAATTAATTTGCCCTTATCATTTAAAAGTGCTAAACATTCATGTCCACTGGAAAATTGTTGTTGTTGTTGTTACAAACCAGAAATCAAAATAGAAAAGCCACGTTTAGTACATGCTCATCTTCCGACACGTGTAAGGCACAATATGCTAAATTTCAGTGACTTAGAGCTTACAGAAATCTTTCAATCAGTTAATACCACTGGTGCCACCACTAAAACTACGGAAAATAAAACGGCTAATGAAACAACTAATGATTCAATTTTAGCTGAAATTTTGAAAACACCCAAACGAACTGGGGTAGAAAAAAATGTGCCCTCTTGCTCCCTTAAGAGTATACGCTCTGTTCAAGACTATGTTGATAAGGTTATTGTAGAGAGTTTAAATAGTCCCAATGTTAAACATGGAAAGCCGCCTAAAAAACTCAATTCTAAGAATCCGCCTGAACGTGCTAATCCAAAATCGCTATATCCACCACCTAAAGCTTTGACTAAAGTTTCTACATCTGTTAAAACACCTATAACGGCTAAGTTGAGTGAACCTTGTCACACTACATACGTTTCCTCTACTTCTACCCCTATTATAAGTGAGATCTACAGTGGCACGTCTATTCAGACTGATGATTCTTTGTGCTATCCTGTTATTACTAATGTATTCAGTGTGGCACCTCAGCCTACAGACGTTTCGAAAGCTACTACACCTGTTATAACTGGTGTATTCAGTAACTATTCTCATACAGACACGTCACTTACTCCTGACCTGCGCGCTAGTACATCGAAAGGTCTCCCTCAGACTTGTACTATAATAGATTCTCAGGGAAAAATAGTAGAATCAGTAATTAGCACTGTCTTGGAAACGTTCAAAGACGTTCGCCTTACTATTAATGAAAACGGAAAAGTAGCTGCGTCACTAAACACTCCTATACATGAATTAAATACTACAGAACTAAAGATTTTAGGTAACATACTAGCACACGCACAGTCAGAGGTTGAAAGTTTAGCGTCAAAACCTGATAGTAATGTTAACAATTCAATTAACCAGTTACCATTCGCTGCAGCGATGAATACAATGACTGTTCCATCATCCACAAACAACACGCCGATCACTACCTCTCATCTCATCCAGAAAACCTCTTCGCAGTCTACTCAATCATTTCCTATTCTTCTAATACCTGTAGTTCCTGAACCAACGACACAGACTATTTACAAGACTTTGTCCGACGAAATGGGTAAAAAGGCTGAAGATTATGTAAAGTCTTATACGTCATTTACCACGCTGAAAACTCGTACAAAGCATATTAGTTCCACGTTACGGAATGTTGGAAGTAAAAAAAGGAAAATGGAACATTTTGTACCTATAAAACCAAAAATTAGAGTTATTTCTCCTACAAAATTAGGTGCACCAAGAAGTTTTATGAATGAAAGTCCCAAGGAGGATGATAAAACAGGTCAAACATCAAGCGAACCCGTGCCAAACCATGAAGATATCGAGAGTCAATTGTTTTGCTACTCGATACCAGTTCTTAATCGAGGTACGAAAAATACTTAACTACAGCCTGCTCTAACGCATATGCTCATTATCTATAACGCTTACTGTTTACTGTGTCCGAAGAGAGGGAGAGGACACCATAACTCTAGACTCGGGCCATCTACTGTACTTCCGCGAGGGTGATCAAACATCCCAAGGTGGTATAGGATTCCTCGTCAACAGAGTCCTCTCTAACAACGTTGAAGAGATCTCCAGTGTGTCGAACAGGGTAGCGTACCTGATCCTTCGGCTATCAAAAAGGTATAGCCTGAAGATCATTCAGGCCTACGCACCGACCTCGACACATTCGGATGACGATGTAGAAGATATGTACGAGGACATATCGAAAGCCTTACACAACACCACCAAGGCTCACTTCAACGTTGTTATGGGGGACTTTAACGCTAAAGTGGGATTCCCAAATCTTGACGAATCTCGAGTCGGCCCGCATGGTTATGGAGTAAGGAATCACAGGGGGCAAACGCTAGTCAACTTCCTCGAGCACGAGGGGCTCTTCTTGATGAATTCGTTCTTCAAGAAGAAGCCTCAAAGGAAGTGGACTTGGCGAAGCCCCGACGCTGTGACTAAAAATGAGATCGATTTCATCCTGACGGACAAGAGACACATATTCAGAGATGTCTCAGTGATCAACAGGTTTAGCACCGGATCTGATCACCGACTTGTACGAGGCTCTCTGAATATCGATGTCAAACTTGAAAAAAGCCGCTTGATGAAGTCCACGCTCCGTCCTAATCCACTCCAGATCATGGCGGGCTCCGAGAAGTTCCATGAACTTCTCGAAGCGAGATTCGTCGAGCTGGAACCCACCGAGGACGTTGACGAGGCCCTACAAAGCGTGGTTGGGACGCTGAGAAGCGAGGGCACCAAATTCTGTCAATTGCAGCGTACGGGAAAGAAGTCTAAACTCTCGGATGGGACTCTGCGACTTATGACGAAAAGACGCGATGACATCCAGGCCACTTCGTCAGAGAGGTCATACCTAAACAAGCAGATTGCGAAGATGGTACGGCGTGACCTTCGGAGCTCCAATACACGCCTCATTGAGGAGGCGATAGAGCGAAACCGAGGGTCCAAAGTATTCACTCAGCAGCTTGGAAGGAGCCACCTGACGAAGCTTACAACGCACGATGGCCTAACCGTTACGTCAAAGCCGCAGATACTCGCCGAGATAGAGGACTTCTATGGCCGTTTGTACGCTGTAAATGCTCCTCGGGTCCAGCGTGACAATCACGATTTGAGAGCCACCTTGACGCGCCACTATACCGACGACCTGCCAGAAATCAGTCAAGACGAGATCGTGTTGGCTCTAAAACAGCTTAAAAATGGAAAAGCCCCCGGTGAAGACGGAGTTACTTCAGAGCTTTTGAAGTCTGGAGGAGTTCCTATTATCCAGGAACTTCAGAAGCTCTTTAACTTGGTCATTCACTGCGGGAGAACTCCACGGGCGTGGAACAGGAGTATTGTAGTTCTCTTCTTTAAAAAGGGAGATAAAACTCTACTGAAAAACTACCGACCCATCTCACTTCTGAGTCACGTCTACAAGCTGTTTTCTAGAGTCATCACGAATCGCCTCGCAAGAAGACTCGACGAGTTTCAGCCACCGGAACAGGCCGGGTTTCGGGGAGGATATGGCACCATAGACCACATACACACAGTGAGGCAGATTATACAGAAGTCCGAAGAGTATAATCGGCCCCTGTGTTTAGCTTTCGTGGACTATGAGAAGGCCTTTGACTCTGTCGAAACCTGGGCTGTCCTGGAATCCTTACAGCGGTGCCAAGTGGACTATCGTTATATACAAGTGTTGAGATGTCTTTACGATGCTGCTACCATGAGTGTCCAAGTACAGGACCAGCAGTCTGAACCTATCCAATTACGCAGAGGGGTGAGACAGGGGGATGTCATATCCCCGAAACTGTTCACCGCTGCATAGGAGGATATGTTTAAGACGCTGGACTGGAAAAGGATGGGCATTAACATAAACGGCGAGTACATCTCACACTTGCGATTTGCAGATGACATAGTCCTAATGGCAGAATCGCTGGAGGAACTGGATCAGATGCTGAACAGCCTAGCATCCGCCTCGCGGCGGATTGGTCTCGGCATGAACTTTGATAAAACCAAAGTCATGATCAATGACCACATGGATCCGAGACCCATCTGCGTAAATGGCCACCTTCTTGAAGTTGTTTCCGAATACACTTACCTCGGGCAGATTCTGCAGTTAGGTAGAAATAACTTCGAGAAGGAGGCCAGGAGGAGGATTCAGCTTGGCTGGGCAGCGTTTGGGAAGCTACGTCGAGTCTTTTCGTCGCCCATCCCGCAGAGCTTGAAAACAAAGGTTTTCAACCAGTGCGTCCTACCAGTTCTAACGTACGGAGCTGAGTCGTGGACACTCACGATACGGCTAGTCCACCAGTTTAAAGTCGCTCAGCGAGCTATGGAACGAGCTATGCTCGGAGTTTCTCTGAAAGATAAACTCCGTAATGAGGTTATCAGACAGAGAACCAAAGTGATCGACATAGCTCTTCGGATAAGCAAGCTGAAGTGGCAGTGGGCTGGACATATCTGCCGAAGAACCGACAACCGCTGGGGTAAACGAGTTCTTGAGTGGAGACCACGACTTGGCAAACGTAGTGTGGGACGCCCTCCAGCCAGATGGAGTGACGATCTGCGGAAGATTGCTGGCAGGAAATGGATGCGTCAAGCCGAGAACAGGGCGAAATGGCGTGCATTAGGGGAGGCCTATGTCCAGCAGTGGACTGCAATAGGCTGATGATGATTACTGTTTGCGCGTTATAGATAATGAGTATATTATTCATAAAACAGACATTGAAGACCAAGATCTTCTGTAAAGGCTCTTTACATATCGAAATTGACATCTCATTATCACTGCTTAGATCCTTCATTATGGTTTATATTGTCCGTGCAATAAAGCTGTTAATAAAAAAAATATTTGCAACGTGGCAATGATCATGATGAAACTAAATTTCCTTTAATTTCCTTTAATATTTAAACAATCTGAGCACTACGTGACGTGAAACTGTGGTTGAGCACATCATGCATGACACTTTTTGGATTTTGGACCATTATAATAAGCAGCGCGTAGAGTTTAATTTAAACCTTACAAGTGTCCAGCTTGAATTGACATGCTTCGGACTATGTTCGATTCTTGGTAATAGTAAGAAACAAGTTTTTTAAATGGATTGTGTCTAAATTTGTCTAGTATCCTAAATTTGTCTAGTATCCAGCTGATTCTGTTGATTATTAAAATATGTCGTCAAAGTATATATAAGCTTAAGGAGAGCCACAGAATATTGTGAAAGAATATTCTTCCCATTAATTTATCATTTACATTTTAATAAAAATACTAATGTAAATAAGTATTCGGTATTGTTTGTTTTTAAAAAACACCAAGCACTGAAACATGTTAAAGGCATGTGAGGGTGGATTCGAATGCGTGCGGCAGTTAATTTGTAAGCTCGTATTTAAAATGGCTGTAATAGTAATTTGTGGAAACATTTAAAACTTGGTCAGTTATAATAAATAAATACACGTACTATCGATCTATACGAGTCTACGCTAGTAATGCAACGGAAGTGTTATGACGGAAACAGATGTCGAATATAGTAATACATATAATAATATTTTAGCGGAAACAGAAGCGGAAGCGGAAATGTAAATACTACAAAGAACTCTACAAAATATTCCCCAACGAAGCTTGTTTTTGGTTACACAATTCATGCAATTATTACACAACCCAACAGTACTGAAAAACGCGCGCTCCACTGCCAAGTTATCCGCGCCTAATCCGTCGCAAACTTTGAAAACTTTTGATATTAAAGTTCCGTTATAAAAGTTGCGGAAGCAGAAGCAGAGGTCTGTTGCATCACTAGTCTACGAACACTAGTATGGCCATTAATTGAATTATTGTTTATCACCTGGAAATATGTAGACGACACTGTGACCGTGCCTACATAATGTTGTATGTAAAACCAAGTTATATTATGTAATGATTGTTAAATTACCTCCAGTTGATGTAAATAATAAACACTTAAATAACAAACATTTATTACATCCCTATTTTATTGGCGTACCCAAACAGGGTTCGAATTATAAAGATATTTATATTCTTTGATAATTATCCATGCTGCTGCCGCAAATAATTGCGGAATTGCATAATTGATTCCGTCTTCCCCTTTCGAGGTCAAATGCGCACTTATTTTTTTTTTTATAAAAAAAGCCTTAAAATGACAAACAGTAAAAAACTAAATTGAAGAACTGAATTGAAGGAAAATCTTTGGCATCTTTGGCGTTTTCTTGTTCCAATATTTTTTTAAATATCTAAAACCATCTTGGCAATTATCAGTAATACTTATCATATCGCACCCTATCCAAAAGTAATTAATGTGCTAGTAGCTTTCCGTATGGAAAACCGTTTGAGAGGTTTCTCGCATGACTGTAGGTATAGTCGAAAGAATACTGACCTCTCGTTTTAAGATTTAAACTGTTTAACCGACTTAAAAAAAGGAGGAGGTTCTCATTTCGACTGTTTTTTTTTCGTATGTATGTTACGCGATAACTTCAGCATTTGTGAACCGATTTTGATGATTTTTTTTGCTGGATGGAGGTACATTGGTAGTGGTTTAAATTTCAATAAAATATACGACCTCTAAGTGTGGCAAATTAGGGGATTAATGACTTTTGTGGTCAGTTTTTCAGTACTCTTCTGCAGTGAGATTATTTTAAGTAAATACAGATATTTACTTCCACAGATGCACTTTAGCACAGATGCTAGGGTCGATCTCACAAGACGTCAAAAATGTGTTTCTTTCAATAACTTTTGTATTGTTACAATGTTAATAGACAGGTACTAAGCGTTATTTATTTAAAGAGATTGCTAGATTACGTAGTCCGGAATACACACAAAACGGTCACTACTATGTTACATTAATAAATTAAAAAGAGGGTTTTTTATCATTAATGTCACCGGTTTCACGTCTACCTACATTAACGATTAAAAGATAAAAATAAACACTCGACGAAATCGCAATATCTCTCTCCAAGGTAAAACTTAACTATTACATCAAACTTACCATAACTTTCCAATTTACTATACAAAAAGATGTTTTCTCGGCCTTATAATGTGTACACATTTTTAGTATCATTATATTAACTTTAACTAAAAACCGCCTAATAACAAGAGCCTATCTATACCGCATACGCAAGCGGGAGCTCCAGTTAGGGCGCGTTCCCATTATGTCGTAACGTTTTATTTATCGTTGGACGACTGTCGCGTCTAGCCTGTTCCCATATGACAACTATCTGTCGTGACCGTGTCGTGGACGTTTATTTTATCGTTGAACGTCTGTCGCGTCTAGCTGTTCCCAATTTACCATTTCGCGGCAGGCGCCTTGTCGTTTGCACGACATAATCGTTTGAAACTGCGATTATCTGTCGTCACATATTTATCGTGACATTTTATTTGTCGTACGACGACTGTTGTTCTAACTCTTCCCATTATCACGACAGTCTGTCGTTGTAACGCCAAAAAAGTCGTAAACGAATTTAAACGAAGTTAATCGTGTTCTTCTATGTGTGAACAACTGCATTTAAATATGCAAACCGCGACACTAAACTCCAAGACTATCTGTCACAACATAATGAGAACGCACCCTAAGATCAAAGAAAAATTTATTGATTGAAGTGTTTCTAGCTAGTGACCCTGTGCATCTCCGTTTTGGTAAGAAATAGATTTAAATACCAATTTTAGTGCTAGTAACCAAATCCTTGTCATTCTTGTACAATCTATCTAAATAAATATTTTGTTGATGTCTTATAAAGTTTATTGTACGTCAATTAGATTACGGGAACTTCAAAATCCACCCACTTTCGCAACGTTCTCAAATATTTTACGACCTTGACATTAAAAAATGTTTCTAAATATCATTCCTCCTGTCGCTCTCATTCTTGTCTACTTTTAAGTCACAGTAATGATGAAACATTTTGTTAGAATGAGACAAAAGGTTGTTTTAGATATTTTCGTATATTATTCCATAGTAAATTGCAAAGATATTTTTTATATATATTTTTTGTAAAAATATTTAGTTTAGTTTAAACTACTTAGTTTTTATTATTATTACTGATACAAGTGTGTTTCGATCTTTGTATCAATAATAATTACAAAAAAAACTTATATTTGATATTTATTATACATACATA